GGTTTGTGAAAAAATCAGGAAATTTAACAAGAAACAGTGCTTAGCTTTGCGATAGAACTTGAATTGTGGTGGTGCTAGCTCTATAAAGTGGCTCTTGGAATGTGATAACCTAAATGCCGCCTTAACGCGGGGTCAGATAGAGGTCATTTTTAAACGACCTTTTCCACAATCAATTGATGAGCAAAAAACACATCTGACTCTCCTTTTCCAGTCAGTCAGTCTCAAAATTTGCTTTTCTGTTGGAGGAAGGATGGGAGTAGGAGGGGACAGGGGGAGTTCCGATTATTTACTTTATATGCTACAGTCCGTGATTGAATTTAGCTGTCATTATCTGTTGTAGGCCATCGCCACGAATGTCACTTGAAAATTGGCCCCTATTTTTGGCTCAACTGCGACAGATGAATGATTGGCTTGCTCATCAAGATGCCAATTTCCATCAACTCATGGGAACTGTCGGTGGTGATAGTGAAAGTGTCAGCCAACTCATCAACTCATTCTCGGTAGGAATGCTGTCAGTTGACATCGTCTGCTGAAATCATTTCTCCTTAAAATGTTTTCCTTTTGTTGATAGGTCCTCGAGGAGGAGTTGCGACATCAGCGTTTCCAAGTTGAAGATCTGCTAGATCGGGGACAAATGTTCATGCGAGATCAGCTTGCCGAGGGGAGATGCGGCTTCTCCACGGAATCTGAAGGTAAGGCCTCATCAAACACGGAAGGTGTTTATCTCTTCTTCCCTCTCTCCTGTCTAAACGGGGTTAAGTATGTTTTTGCTTTTTCACTGTAGGTTGTCATTCACCTGCGTTATTACTCTTTCTAGGCTCGGTCGAACTTTTAACCCCTCCCATCCCCCTCCTGTATGTGTTTTAAATATCCACTCAACTTTGGCGCCTATTTTTAAACCTGATTGTGATGTATTTATCCTCCATCTCTCCCTCCATATCCCCTACCAGCCCAATCCAGTCCCCTATTTTTCCTGTTTATTTGATTAATCACATGGGACTATTACCAGGCTAAAAAAGTGGGACAGGCAGTTTCTCTGATTTCCGTGTTGAGAGTAAATAAAAGGAGGAAGCTTAATGCTGAGTGCTTTAACTCTCCAGAGGGCGTAAATATCGTCAAATCATTCAGCTTCGACAGACTCGAAGGTAGGTGAATAAATCACTACCTCACTTTCCTCACAAATTTACTTTTCCTTACTGTCTTCTGGATCAGGTAGAACTTCCCTATGAGGACTTCTTGAACTTGTAAAATGCGATGTTTTGAGTGTATGGGTTGGTGTAGTGAGGTACGGTACGACACACCATGAGATGGCTCGGTAGGGCACTCGTGAGTGCGCTGTCCTCTACTTTCCACCTATTCTGAACCCTCACACCAATCCGATCTTGTTGTGGAGTCCTTATAAAAGGTGTGATAGGAGAATAGCGCACCGTCTAGAATCAACGAAATGGTTTTACAACATCCTTTACACTTGATTAGAAGGCTCCTGGAGTTGCTTGGTTTTCTTTTGAAGGAAATCTTGTAAACTCATTTAACTGTCTTCTCTGGTCCACCATTCTCATTAACTTCCCATCCCGTCAAGCTGTCAAACTCCTTACTTAGATAATTGGAAATGGAATTAAGATTTTTTTGTTGTTTTTTTTCCAGGAGACTCTGATGGATCCGAATTCGATCCTGGCAAGAGTGACGTAGATGAATCGGTCATGAGTACAAAACGAATTGTTCGACGAATTCGACGACATCTGGTTTACCTTGATAAGCACTGGGCTGAGCTGAATCGTTCCATGTTGGCCTATAGACAACAGCTTGATAGAGCATTTCAGGTAAAGAGAATTAGTGAGATCGTCATTTAGGTTGCCAAATTTTGTGGGTTGACCTTTGACCTTTGATATGTTTGTATTTAGAAATTGACTGTTTTTGAAAGGGTACTCGACGACGCTGAAAGGGAGTTGGAGGCAGCTCAGAAAGTACTAATGGCTCAGGACCCTTCCTATCCCATGGATGAAAGAACACTGCAGGTAGACTTTTAGCCAATTTGGGGAGGGGAAATACGACCTCTTATTGGAGGATGGAGGGGAGAGGGGGTGTCAGTACATACAACCACTCAAATAAAGCAGTAACTTAGGAGATCCTCCCTCATTCATGAATTTGACTTTTGGACCACCGGATAGTGGTGGTGATGCCTCTCGAAGTAACTTGCTGCCACACCACCTCATGAGTGTTTTCTTTTACCTTAAACAGGTCATTTGGGATACGTTTGCATCTGTAACTCATGCAATTGCTGGTCTGGATGGTCAAGCGCTGTGTCTAAGTGACGATGGAACCATCATCTCCCACGTTCTCATCTCCAGACTCGATGGATTGAAAATTGGGTGAGTTGCTTCATCGAGATGTCCAATTTACCTTCAAAAAGGGCGAGGGACAAGGTGAGTCTCCTGTCAATCTCTCACGAACCCATCAGATTGACACGAGGGCAAAATGTGCAGAGGATTGGAGCCTCTTTTTCCATTTGGGGAGTTATTAACCACTCCTGCGGCATGGATGACACTTACAGCGTATCGTCTGGCTTCGTTGTGTTTAGAATCATAAAGCAGAGGAAGAAAAAGCACACTACAAGAGCACATTTTTAAAACTTTGTCTAGATGATATCATCATAAATGTGAAGCCCGCAGTCCTGGTAGACTGAAGCGCTCTGCAAAACTTACGCAAGCTTGTCTTCTCCACTTGCAAAGATGGCAGTAGTGAAGTCATATCTAAATGAAGAAGTGGCATTAAGCATTGGTTCCAACATATGTGTCTTGGGAGTGGGTGTTTCTGCGCCATCATTGGTTAAAAAGGCAACGAGAGTCATGCGTTTCCCCCGCATGACAAGGTGAAAAAGGTGGAAACGTAAACGATCACTTTAACGCTTTTCTAGGCACTAACCAACTGGTTACTAACCGAAAAGGGTGATATTTTGCTTATTTGCCCTATTTTGGGAGGTAGAAGTGGAGGGGTAGGTTTATATCAACTTCCCTTTTTTTACTCTGCGTAGTTCGGCCTTGAGCTACTGTTAGCGATATCAGTAGTATATCCTGACCAACAGGGCTAATGCCAACTGAGCCTCCTTTCACGTCACCAACAGTGTTTTATGCAGCTACTGGTTTAATTTCTCCATTTTTTCTATAAATCGCTTCACAATATAGCTTTTAGGAGGCAAAGTTTTGTTCTCACATTTTAAAACGCATTCTCAAAATCCTTCTCTAAGACGTTCTTGGCTGTGTTAGAGTATATCTTTGTGCAAATTAAGAGGGTCCACGCCTACTTGATTCTTCATCTCCTGACAAAGACACACAACCTTTTATTATTAAGGCCTCAAACAAAATTCTTTGTGTTCCCCTTTTTCCATAAGATGATCATGGGGTCGCAAAGTATGGTCCTCCGAATAGGGAATAACGGATCTGACCTTCTGTCCTTTTTATCTTTAGCCTGGAGCGTCTTCGATCGGAGGCAAACGAAGGAATGAACCGTTTTCCCTCTGGAAATGATGCCGGCTCTAGTGCATTGCCTACTGTTGTGCCATTTTTTCAACAGGCTTTACGATCCCCTCCACAGCATTTGCTTAATCCTAATCAACTGGAATCCTCAGTATCCGTCAGCGGTGGTGATGCACCCATTCCACGACCAAAAAGTCCGTCCGAATGCTGGCTACAAGCTTTTCAAACCGGTAAATTAGCACTTCACTATACTGACTACTTTTATCCCTTAAATAGTAGTATGTTTTGATGTCGACGCCTCTATTTAAGACTTCAGTTGAAACTATTTAGGTAAAATTTACAACCTATCTTTTTTCCTTTTTTGACTTCATATGCATTAAAGATAAAGATTTTTCTAAATTTTTACACACCCAAATGGCAATTTTCTTTTAAAAGAGAGCCATTTAAATGCCATATATGTCAGGTGGGTCGTGATCGCCCATGACTGGCCTTTTTAAATCCAGCAACTAATTCGTTGTTTATTCGGGCTTATAGTATCATGTCCATGGGAACGATGCCTTCTGCCTTGTGGGAATCAAGTACCCTACTACAAAAAGTGAGTCGCCTTCTCTTTTTTCTCCTTTATTGTCTACACAAAAGAAAGTGGTTAATGGTGGGATGAATTGGCACCACCCAAGACGTCACCTTAATTTTACTTCGGCCTTTCTTTAGCCATGCTACCCAAGAAACACAATGGGACCATCCTCTTATGATTGAACTACTGCAAAGAATGGATGAGTGCAACACAATCCGTTTCCTTGCCTACAGAACTGCCGCCAAAATTCGCCAGCTACAGTTGAAACTTTTCTGTGAGTGGCTGGACTTGATACTTGTTCGCATTGCCAGAAGCATTAACAAAATTGAATTTTCTTTAAAACTGTCAAAAAAATGGGGGAACAATCACCTGCAGGTGCAATCTATCAGCTCGTCTCGCACAGTAAATAGGGTTAAATTTGCTGAGATACTCACCTGCATCCTGTCAATTTGTCTCTTGAGATAAACTGTCGGCCTGCTATTACCACAGACCTGTCTCTCGTCACCCCTCCATGTGGTCGTCTGGTTGTCGAGCGTCAAAAAGGGGATAAAATTCATCAATGGGGAAAAATCCGGCTAGCCGATTAGTACAGAGGGTGAAGAAGAGCCAGTCTCCCCCCTTTATGGCCGCCTTTGGACTGAATTTACTACTTCCTGAAAGGATTTTTCTCAAGAAGAGGTTATATCGGCAAAACTTCATGATGAAGCATACCATCCGCAGCCTGTTACATGTAGTGGATGGTCTGGAGGTGCCTTCAGTTACCTGCCACCTTCTTCAAGATGTTCCACCTGCTTGTCTTCCAGAAATGCTTTTCAGCCTCTTTACCTCTGGAATTGGGTTGAGTACGTTTACCAAGCAGTTGAAACGTCCAGTGGGGGCTGTGGTGGGGGAATGATGGACTTACCATAGGCGATGGGTTGTCTCAGAACTTTTCCCCTCTCATAGCTTGTCTGTTCTCTCCTTCGGCTGATTTTAGCAGTTTTTCAAAGTTTTTACGAAGAAGTTGTATGGAATGGATGGATTGGAGGCTCAACGTCGGCAAAATTTCGTGGTAAACCATACCGTTTGCAGACTGTCGCTGATACCTTCACTTACCTGACGTCTTCCGCAAGATGTCACACCTGTTCATCTTCTGGAAATGCTCTACAGCTTCTAGACTTCTGAAACCGCGTCAAATACAGTTCGTCAAGTAGCCAAACTTCAGCGCCTTCAACCGGAATAGGGTACAGCGGTGCATTCAAACAACCGTATTTCGTAATTTTCCTACAGGTTAAAGCAAGCAGTTTTACCAAATGCAGACTAAAGAAGTCTTTTAAATCACCCGATTTTATCGTGTTTAGGTGTTCTTAAAATATGTTATGTCTACAGGATACACAAACTCGCCAACTTTCCCGTACATGTGAGCTCCTCGTTCATTACCTATTCATACCGCCCGCCTTCCACACTCACACATGTAACTTCAAAATAGAGGAAAAGGGTGAAAAAAAGCAATTTTTAAAGTGATTGCATTATTTTAGTCTAAAAATACTACGGAAATATGTTTTTTTATAAAATATGCAAGTTTTGGAGGGTCCAAATTCCCAAGACCGCACCTGGTCAGCTAGCAAAGTGGTGGAGAGGCTAGAAGAGAAGTGGGAGGGGAGGCGGGTTTTTGAATAACAAAGTTGATTTTAAACGTCTTTTCTTGGAGGATCATTTCACCTCCCCTTTTTCTCCCTTTTTCCCACTATGGTAGATTTTTCGTCTGAGACCTTGGTGCCTCCCGCGGTCAAGTACTTCAGCGCCGGGGGGCGGACGGGGCAGGGGTCCTCTTTAAGTTCTTCTGTGGGGAAAATTTATTCAATAATTCTCTCTTGCTTGCTTATGCAAAACATTACAATTAATTATTTATTCATTTCAAAAAAGTAAAGCTTGAAATGAATTCTACCTACAGCATGGACACTGCCACTTTTCCCCTCCCACCACTTTGGATTTTATCCAGTCTAACTTTTTACCATCACAAATGCAAAATTTCCAACTTTCAAGCAGTTTTTCTATGAGGAATTTTATTACAAAATTAGTTGGCTTGTTTATGTTTTTATTTGTTCCCTTCCAAGCATTCGCCTATTATTGCTTGACATCTTTCCCTGTCAGCAATTACCACCCAGACATTCGCTCCGATCAAACTTTTCCATCGCAATGTTTATTTTACTGTCAATCAAGGGATAGAATTACTGAATGGTTAAGTAATGCATACTTTCTCCTATTTTCCTTCCTACCAGTCGACCAAATTCCCTTGAATGTGGCCACAGAGACTTTCGCCCGTCATGGTCTCTCCTCACCGCTTTGCAGCGAGGGCTGTGATGGTCGAGTGATGGACGTGGCACAGATGGTGAATTGTCTCACCACTCTCTACTGTCGTGTCTGGGACACGCTGGCCAATCAACCAGATGTTGTCAAGACAATAGACACTAATGCGGGAGTGGTGAGAAGTGGTTTGTCTACTCAGCAGACACCAACAAAATCCTGCACCTCGGAATCCACTCTGGCTGGTACCATTGGCCAACAGACGGTAAATTGGACCTGTTTACTTTGTAGCCAGTGAATAATTGCGCTAGCAAAGTCATCAGGGAGATGAGGTGGTGCCTTAGAAGTGTAGAGCGGTTGGAAGATGGATTGATGGAAAGATAACCCACGATTTCGACTGCTTCTCTTCCTCTGCAGTACATAATCTCAACCCTAGTCAATAGTCACTCGACGTCCGCTCTAAAAACCGCGCCGTTTCCATAACTCCCGTAGAAAAAATTGAGGTGCTACTTAATGGTCCTTTGAGTTTAGCACCACCTCCTGTATAATACATGTGCGCGTGTGGCATTCATTTGCTTAATAGCTTTCTAGCCTTTCCCAGTTGATGTGAATTTGGTGATTGCGTGTCCCACCCTCCTTCATTGCTCTACCACATAGTTTAAACGGTCGACTGGTTTTGAGAAGTTTGAAACTACTCCCTAAAATTATTGCCTATTTGTCTTCCTCTCTTCATACCCAGTCAATGACCGAAAACGCTTCCCTCTTGGAGAGTCGGTCAAGGTCAAAGAAGACACCCACCCATCGCAGTGCAATCAATTGTATGTCCAGTGTGCTGTGTGCTACAAGCAACAAACACAGTCGAGGTGATGAGAGTAAAAGTGAGAATGGCAGCGATGGCCCTCGACAACGTCCAGCTACCCCATCTGTGGAAAATCGTCCAACCAAAGAGAGCGAACGTGCTTCACTTGGAGAAATGCCTCCATCAAGAATGCAGCCCTCGTCCTCCTATTCAAGGGTGGAGAAACTTCAAACACGCCTTCAATTGCCTGATGGACGAGAATTTGCTCTACCGACATGTGTGGATTTGGCTCTCAATCTCCTCTTAAATTCTTTTGATAGGTGAGCTAGAGTTGGTCGTTCAGTGATGAATTAATTTGTTTGGCATGAAGACCGGAAGTTCTCCCTATAGACGTAATGAAATACTCGGATATGGGACTTGGGAGTCCGATATGGCCCCATGCGACTGGAGGTGGCCAGCAAATTGGATATAGAAGGGGAGGGGAGGAGGGGTTGTGGAAGAGTGAAAATATCTGGCTATTCACAGACAGGTTTTTCTGGGGTTGTCATAAGTGGACGCAGTTTCAGCCCCTTCCCACGCTTGCTCGCCAATTTGTCCATCCACTTAACCCACCTTTCAGAGCATTCAGCTGGCAAAAGTGAGGGTTATTTTCTCCCAGGGTACCGAAATGAAGACGAATAAGTTGGGAAGTCGCTTTGCAGAGAGCCGGGGGAGACTATTAGCTTAAGTGGTGAATCACCGCCACTCAAAGTAATAACTCCATCAAGACCGACCGAAGGAGACAAGAAGTTGCAATCCACTGCGTGACTGGCTAACTCTCCCGCCTTGTTGATTTTTTTCAGGAACAACTACTAGCTAAAAGAGGCACAACTCATAATTAAGAGGCGGAGGAGCGGACGGGAGTGAGGTGGGGTGGAGGGAGGCTGTGTCTCTTACTTGTCTGCTATTAGAAAGATGTATAAAATTTCTATTATTTCGAGTCAAAAAGATCAAAGTAAGGAAAGATCCGCTCCTTAGTTCGAAGAAATCCGTTTGCCTATTTATTCGCTTCTGTTAGTTTTTTTCCTTTTTCCCCTCCTTTATTAAAATGGAGAGGCGAGTTAAGGTACAACGCACTTTGGCAATCTAACTTCCTCTGTTGCATCTCCCTATTTCCATTTTATGATCTCGAGGAAGAAAATCGGCAATTCTAGTGTATGAAGGTGGTAGATCATAAAAAAGAGATTTATAGTATCTAGAAGGAGCATAGATTAGGCAGAAATGCCTCCTCGCTGTAGTAAAACCCAGTGAAGAAAGTGAAGGCACAGGCTACTCTCAGTGTGTCAGGCAAGGGGAAAAAGGGAGGAGGCTGGTGGTCTGAAACAAGGGGGCTAGTTGGTAGGTCTTATGACAGATTGCAAAACCTAGGCGACATGAAGGAGGGAAAGAGCACTTTTACGTCATCCCATTGCCTACCAAGATGCTTCAACCGGAATATCATCTCTTGATTGATGGGTTGTCCCCAAAAGTTAGAGTTTGTGGATAGAAACTGTCTTATCTGAGTAGGGAGGAAATAAAGCATGACCAAATAAAAGGATCTCCAAATTGAATATTGCAATGTCGAAGGTGAAGATGTTTTGCTTGATTCATCATCCCGAATCTTCAAGAAAGGAAGAGATGGAGAGAAATTTTAACTATTTAAATTTCTCTGGTAGGTGATTTTAAAGTTCTCTCGTTAAGAAAACGAAAAGGGTAAAAAGGGGAGAAACACCTGGCCTTTCAGCATAGATGCAGCACTTGAAGAGATGACTGTCCATACCACGCTTAGCCCCGATCATTCACAGACTAAAACCGAAGGTCGGGAAGTTAGCCAGACACTTCAGTCCTGACTTGACAATTTCACATGTTGTAGCTCCCGCAGTGGGACGATTCGTGTTCTCTCCTTCAAAGTGACAATCTTCCTGCTTGTCAACGCCACTCTGGATGAAAAGTATCAATGTAAGCTGTTTTCAATTTCTTTTGCAGCTACCCGGGACTGCATACTTGCAATTTGGTCTGGCTTAATAGCTTGAGAGCTACATTTATGCTGTCAATTGTTCCAATTTTCCTTCATTTTGGCTAGAGAATGGCTTTATCTTTATTAGTGGCTGCAAAATCATCAAACTACACTGCCAAGTGTAAAGTTTTATCCGAGAGATATATAAAAAGTCGAGGAAGGCTCTTACGCTTACCCTTTCTCCCCACTCCGATGCTTTTTTCGGGGAGATGGAATAGAGAGGAAGTGTGAAACCAGTAGAACTATGCGAGAAATCGGAGGTAGATAATGATAGCTTTATCCCCAATGCAGAGTTAAGTAAACAAGTTTCGTAGGGTTTTCCGTTGCCAAAAGCTGCACCACTGTTTTAATCTGGTTCAGCTGATGGTGAAAAGTTAAAAAGAAAACGTATTTTCCCTCCTCATACTAAATCAGGCTATCTCTTAGGTGTATTCACTAATTGCTTCACATATTTAGAGCACCAAGGAAATACAAGACGTCACATATTTTTCTTTAATCCATCTTAGATAAGTTTTCTATGCCTTGTGTCACTTCAGATCTATTCAGTCTAGTGGCGGATCGTGACAACAAGATTAATGACTCACGACTCTGGCTTCTCGTCTATGAAATTTTGCAACTACCTCGACAGCTCGGCGAGACTTCATCCTCAAACTGTGCAAACAGTAACCTCGACCCGAACATTTTAATGTGCTTTAAGAAGGTAAGAATGTCAATTCTGTACGCAGGTCCCTTCTCAAGAGAACCTTTTAAGCTGTTTATTAAAACTCAGTAAGATGAAATAGTTTTAAGGTCCCAGGTGGAAAACGAGGGAGAACGTGAAATGCCGAGCAGTATTTCCCTGCAATTTCTAAAATTATAGGAGAGATGCTTATTCTTCTTCACTCTCTTTTCTTTATATTGTCACTGCTAAAGCAATCTCAACGAAGAATATACTACAAAGTTAAACGACAGAATAGCCAAATGATAAGACAGTACAGTGTAAAGTCACCTCCGTGATTGAGTATATTTTAGTCCCAGAAATGCAGCATATCCGTTAAGTATTTTTCCACAAATATTCGACACCTCCTTTACTTCGTTTATAAATAACTTTCTTTTGAAAGAAGAAAGCAACTGTTGTGTGTGTATCCAAGCCGATGAATGCCTATTGGACTACTGCCTCTCTAGCATGGAATGTGATGCGCCTAAAAGACATACCGTCTCCTCTCTCTTTTCTCCTTTTTCATGTCTAGCAAAATTTGAAGGAATTCACTCAAACTAGACATTTTTAGGTCGCTTTAGTTACAAACAACTGTGTAGCTATGCTTCTCACTTTTAATTTATTCAAACAAAATGCTGTTTGATTGCCCTAGTTGCAAACTTTTGTGCACGTTTATAGCCAAGTTTTTGTTGCGTTTTGTTTTCCTTCTTTTTTTCACCCAAGTAAAAGAGAGTAACGTTGAAACGTGTTATACCCTTCCCAAATTTCATAGGAAAATTCTTATTTCTCTCTCCGAAAATTCCTATTTGCAGTTTTGGAATTTCGAATTTGAAATCTCTCTTTGACATTTTTTGTTTTCTTTTCTTCTTTATCTACAAATAGAATGTCATGGGTTAGGTGTTTTCGTATTCTGTGGTACGTACGTGCACATCGATCACTTGACAGTTGCATACTGCCCGAACTACCCGATTTCCTTGGTTCATCCACGTTTCACGGTCTGCAAGGAGAGGACATTTTTCCTCTTGGGTGAAATTCACAAATTTATTAGCGGAAGTGAAAAAATGGCCGTAACATTTCATTCAAATTGTTCATTCGTGCCACTCCTTGTAGCAGGTCGGTTCATTGACCTGTACAAGAGATTTGCATGACTACTCTTGATTGCCTCTCCTCACAGTCAGATGTTGGTTGAACTTAAAGAACCACAGGACTTAAGCCTGTCTACTATACAGATCTCATTTAGCCTCACTTTGAAGCTGTAAAAGGTAGGCGAATTTTGTGGTTCAGAGTTTTGCGATTCTCGAGGCTCTACGCATTTGGGGCAGCTGGCTGTAACAAGCATAAATAAACGGCAGTGGACCATTTCACTGACTCGTGATGCGAAATGTCTTCTGCATTCCAATGTTAAGCGAGCAATAATCGGTTGATAACCCTAAATGGTCTGCTCATTGCATCGCCCTCCCAAGGGACCGCAAGGTGAGTGGCGCGCTGGATACTGAACTGTTCCCCAGAGATTGAAGGCTAAGTAATAATTGCATAGGATATCTATCTCCTCGGTACTTCTCTAAACGATACAAGGGTGTGCAAGAGTAGCTTTGGCCTTGGAGACAGGTACCACAGCCAGAACAGTCCTCTTCTTAAGGGACAACAGGAGGCATTAAGTTACCCTATGCTGTGGCAGAAGGCCTCACACCATAAATCTGAATGAATGAGAAGATAAGAGATAGGGAGAGAGGTGTCCCCTCCTTCCGGCTATCTTCTTCTCTACCCGGTCCACTCATATGAATAACATCACCTTGTCTTGAAACTTGACAATTCCACGATCACATGCAGACTAGAGCAGAGAGGCGGGAAACAAAAGTGCGACAGAGGGAGAGATAAGTACCTCGAGGGCCATTAAAGCCCACGTCAAACTTACGTCTCGTTCAAATGAGAAAGAATTAAATCTGACAAGAAGACTTCCTCAGTTGTTAAACCTGTGACCTTCATCCATATCAGTCAAACCAGTGACAGCTTTTTCATACACGTGGGACCAAAAGCAAGCACTTTACTCTGAAGTTGCCAATTTCCCAGCTGTCAACAAGAAAATATCCAATTCAATCATTTAAAAGTGGGTTTTTCCACTTGATAAAGTCTTCCGGAAATCCCTGTAATCCTGCCCTTCTTTCCCATGTCAAATACACACCTAAAGACGATCCCATGGAAAGGCAACTGCTAATGGTGTGTTCTCTCCCTTCAATGCCAGAATCTCAAGGCGAAGGGAGGGCATGAACACAGATCCAGCAGCACTATCGTACGCGCACCCTCACTGGACAGTCAAATTTCAGCTGCCTCCCGACCCGACGATGGTGAACTGCTACCAAGTGTTGGGTTAGATCGGTTCTACGAGTGGTTGAAGTTGGAGCCACCGATAGTAGCCTGGTTGCCGGCGCTGCATCGACTGATAGCGGGTGAAAAACTCATTCACCAAGTCCGATGTGCTGTCTGTCAGGCCTGTCCAATCAGAGGTTTGAGGTGAGTCACCGTCTTGGTGAGATCTTATTGGCTACGTGACGCATCCCACCAACGTGATTAGCTAACCGAGTCCCTAGAAGATTTTTAAGCAATAACATTTTAGTCCAGATCTAAAATTGGTTCGTGCGGATCACATTTTGCTCCGCTTTGTACTTACTTTGTGTCCGAGATCGTTTCGTTATCAGATTAAAGTAGTAGTATTGCTAGATCTCAGTAAGGGGGAATAACCCAAATCTTCATGCCACTTGTGGTTCAACCAAATGACCTAATTTCCAGTAGAACTACTTCCACTAGTGTAGTGATATGCACCTACCCCGTGGGAAGTAATGTATGCGCCGTTTTGACCCAGTAAGGCAAGTTAACTGATCTTGTCCATACCAGGTCACAATAACCGGAAGCAGTGTCCAATGATTGCTCAAACTACCTATTTATTTCTCTCCGCAGATACCGCTGTTTGCGATGCCTAAACTTCGACCTTTGCCAAAATTGTTTCCTCATTGGAAGAGTTGAAAAAAGCCACAAAATCACGCATCCGATACAGGAGTATACAAGTACAGTAAGTTTCTACTAGCCTCCACTCTGTGTAGTTTAAAAGCGCCTCCAAGATTTTCTACCTTAAAGTTAAGAGCTTAGCAAAACAGTTTCAAGTTCTTTTTTGCCTTTGTTAGTGTTAACTTCGTGCCTAAGGCTTTCTACCAACGACGGTTTTATCTCTTTTAAAATAGTCTTTTGAATTCACCGTCTTTAGCTGCAACGAAGTGACAGTCTACGCGATTTCAGTCGTGTGGTACGAAATCGCTTCAGGCCGAAGGAGAAGTTCCGTCAATCTTCATCCAATGCTGAGGACTCGTCAAAGTCGATTGCTACACCTACCACTCCTAAAGCTGTGGGCAGAGCCACTCCCACATTGTACGATCGGTGGGTTTGTGCCCACTATTTTGACTATCTTATCTAAACAAACAAGTTGAGGGATGTTGGGTGGGGGATGTGTACTACCGCCATCAACACCATCATCTTATAAACAAAATCTGTTGCATAACCTTAGGTGATAATGATCCTCGCCATGATTTATTAGGCAAATGGGAGGCTGCACGTCTCACCATCCTCTTGCTTTTGATTTTCTTCATTTTTAAGAAAAAGTAGCAAAAAGTCTTTAATTTGTTTCGCTTATTTGGAAAAAATCCTTGTATTTCTACCGTGAATAAGGAAACCCTGAGGAGTAAAAGTGCCTTTCTCTCTCCAGAAGGTATCATGCGACTACTTACGTTTGATCAGACTATTCAGTGGTATGTGCTGCTAACTTATAGTTAATATGACCCTGAACTTTTATTGCACGTTTATTGGCAGACAGAGTATACTGCTGCGGTGTTAGGAGGTCTCGCATTTAAGTATGCGCTGCATTACAGAGAGCCAAGGGGCCCCTCAGCACCAGTGCTTGGTGCTTCAGTCGATCTGTCTGCTTGGCTATCGATGAGTCAAGAACTTGCAAAAGTAAAAAATTGCACAAAATTTCTAGCAGCCACTGAAGTTTAGGACGAATCAGATGTTCATCTAAACGGAATATTAATGAATGTCACACATATGTGACGCTGGTTGGACCAAATCGTGATCGTGTTGCAAGCATGTTCCGGTTTTACTTGAACATCATCTCTATTATCAGCAAACATGTAAATAATCGAAGAAGATGATGTATTGCTTCCACTGTGACCTACTATTTCCCTAATTCTCTGCTTCTTATAGACCACCGAGGGCTGCACCGATTAGGCAGAATTCCACCGAACACCAGAACGCCACTTCCTCCCCAGCAATTTGGCAGACAAATCGACCTGCTTCGCTGGGTGAAACACGAAAACGCGTGCTCTATTCCACCCCCTCTGTCGGTGGCGTGGACAGCTCGATGCCTCGATTAAATGCCAAACCACGCAGAGGTGGATCAATGGATCAGGAGCACGAGCTTATTGCCCAGTACAGCCACTCACTAAGGCGACAGAATTCCCTCACTCCGGTATGTTAACCTTAAAGGTCATTAAAAGGATAGCGATAAAATTTGTACCCTTATCAATGACCTTTTGAGCATACTGGGTAGTCTAATCTGCGTAGCGTTTTGTCAATCCCACGGCCATTTGTTTTACTGCGTCAGGGCTAAGTAGCGCCACTTTTACAGTGGACGAGGGAAGTAAAATCGAAGAAAGTTCTGAAATCAAATAATAAATTTGAGCGTAAAAAGTAATTTATGTTGCAGGGGTATGAATTTTGTCAAAAGGCACTAAATTAGTGTCTTTTAACAAACCCAAGTAGCATGATGGAACATACTACTTATTAACGACCAGTAGAGCTGAGCAGCTGCTTGCATTGTCCAAAAGAAGTGCTACAGGGCGGAAGTACAAAACTGCTAAGCCTCCCTCTCCTCTTTTAAGCGTTGTTCCTGAATGCTCTTTGGGTAGACCTTAAAAAATGCCCCGCGAATCAAGGGCCACAGACTTGTCTCTCACCACCATGTGCCTTTTAATAACTTTCTGGAGTTTTCGTTTCTGGATTAACAGACCGGTGCAATGATGCCTGGTGGTCAGCCCCTCCTGTACTATGGCCCTCAAGACTCGGTTCACTCACTGGGACCGCCATGGCTGTATAGCAGTGCCACCTATGACAGATCGCGACCCCCGGAGCCACGCTTTTTCACTATGCGACCCAATCAACTACGCGGGAGCGGTGGATTTCGTGCCAACTCACAACCCCCACCTCACCCCGGTCCAGGTATTTATGCCACCGGTCCACCAGTCAGTGCTCAGGCAAAGTGGTATCGCAATCCTAGTGGTTGGGAGGGTCCTATGGTTGCTGGTAGCGCTGGTTCATTGGATAAAGTAAGTTACAGTTTACTAGTAGATGCTGCATTTAACTGAGATCGCGTATTCCCACCTCCACGTATCTGTTTTTCCTTTTAATTACAATTTAAGACATGACAGAGTACATACTACTATATAACATTTCAGCAACTGCTTAAGCCCCTACGCGAGTCAATGGGTAGATGTATCGTAAAAAAACTATAATCGATGACTAATCCGAGGGGTCAATTAAGGGGACGGAATTGTGGGACCACGGCTCATCTCTTGCGTTCCCTATTAATCTCCATTTCTTCTCCGACTGTAGGTTTTAATGAATCTGGAGGAGGAGAATCGCTTCCTACGTGCTGAATACGATAGACTTCGAATGCAATCGCCAGCTCAGAATTTGCGCCCACTTCGATCCCCATCGCTGCAATATCCCCTCTCTCAAATGGGACTGTATCAGGATAACATGTACCACTCTGCCTATGGAAATCCGCATTTCCCTCCGAATTCACAGCTAAACCCTCAACTTGGGTAAGATTGGCAACCATGTTGTCTGTGATCGTAGAGAAGTGGAAGCGCCTTTGATAGGCTTGCTGTAGAGCAGGCGGAGAAGGCCTGACATCAGTAGAACAATTTACCGTTTAGAAGAGGTAGAAAGCCTCACTCCTTTGGAGGTAAATGCACGCGAGATCAGAGCCTGTCAAGCGTCAGGAGCTTGTCCACAATGCGGTTGACATAAATGACAAAATGGTTCCTGACCTATCAACCTACTCCAACCTTCGCTGTGGAGTGAGGCTTGTCTGCTGCCTGACATGTGATGGGAAATGTATTTTGTGCCCCAAGGTCAAAGGTTATACCACACTTCGAAATAAAAGGAAGGGAGGGAGGCAGATACCCTCCCATTCTTGTCTTTCTCCTTCCTATTGTCATGACACCGGACAGTCACCAGATTTGGGAAATAAGTGTGACCAAATTTAAGTGTACAGTCAGGGCGATAAATTTCTCCCTGTGGTTATTTAAATATCGCTGCTAGAAACCGCGAAAATTAATTTGGTTACCAGTGGCTACTCCAGCCGAACCACTGGTTACAGTCGGCAGATAAACCTTTAAAAATCCCTCAAAAACCCGTCTTTTTTCTTTTTTTGATTTTATTTGCCCTTTTTACGTTATAAAAAATGATGGAAAGTAGGCGAGACTTTCAATTTCTTTGCATTTCTTTCAAATGGCTCAAAAATTCTGCCACCTTCATTTGGACCAGTTATAGAAGTTAACACGAGTTTTTTCCACGTACTTTGTAATTTGATCTGAAAACGAGGAATTTCGACTTCCTGTTTCGTTATTTATAAAAAAATTTGGAACATTTTACTCCTTCTTGTTGGGAGATGAGAAGGGGAGGGGGAGGGAGACCTTGTCAGCTTTAAGTAAAACAGTCTTGATGCTAGAAGGTGAGACTTATGCTTGTAAAGTTAAAATTCCAACAGGAAGACTTAAAAATTATATTTTCAAAGGATTAAAATGTATGTAGAAGTGGTATACTTTCTCTCCCCTGGGATATAAGTTTTCCGTAAAATCTCTCCAGAGAGTTACGGGAGGGTAAAATCCTCTCTTGCTTAGATTCCTCCCGCTGGTGGCCGCCTTGAAGTCGAATTTCTGCCTTTGAAGGCGTAAAACCAACTCATATTTACGCAATTTGGCTGAAACGACTTATTTTTGACGCAAAAACGAGTCAGTTTGGAAAATATACCCTCTGAGCGCCTATTCAGTGTTTTATTTTAACAGCTAGGCCGAATCTTGTGTTTTGAAAGAACGCAAAAAAAATGCGGAAGCCGTTTAAAACAACCTGCAAAACCGTTGTCAAGGTGTTCAGACGCGGCAACTTTTTTCCAAAAAAACAATTAGTGACTTCCGGATTTCGACACGGAGGATTCGTCGAAGTGGTCTTGCAGAGAGGAGAAAATGGAGAAAATTTGCAAGAAGAATTTTAACAAATGTGTTCTAGCATTCTGTTTAAAGTTTGCACCGACTTACAATCAATAATTCACAAATTTCGTCACCAAAAAAGTGAATTTAACCTAACATTATAGAGTTGCTCCTCTTTGTTTACCCTCTGCAGCTATGGCCAACCAATATCGCTATTGGGTAGAAGTCAAACTGAACGTATCTACCCTTCAAACAACGGGGTTTTCTACGGTGGATCATTGGGTCGGGGATCCGGAGCAGCCGCCTACTCAGCCTTCCTAAGGAGCAACGGTTCGGGTCGAGTGACCTTCGATTCAGCCAATCAGCGCTACCAGAGCAAACCCTCTCACGTGACCTCATCACAGCAGTTGGCTGTGACACCGACCCAAGAGAGTGAGTTGGCACAGGAGACACGGCTGCTAAGGCAACATAAGACTCGGCTAGAATCGCGGATGCAACTGCTGGAGGATCACAATAAAGTTCTGGAAGATCAGCTGAATCGGTTGAGGCAGTACCTCAACATTCCGCCTCCTCCGCATGCGCCTCCTCCACCTACCTCCACTAATCCTACTTCAAGGTCTGTGTCACTCAGTGTTCCCGGTCAAACGGTGAGTTCAAAAATAGAATAAGCATGATTCTGAGGGGCAGTTCAAATGAAGTCGGGACCTTGCTGTTTCATAGAACGACCATAGTTGGTAACACTCCGTAATCCCACAGTTTCTCCTTCCTCCTTTTCTTCTTTAACCTAATTTTATGCATACAGTCGCCCTGCCGGAGCCGCTTCGTTCTTTTACAAGGATTTTACGCTAGGGATGAAAAATCTCACTCTAGAAGAGCCTTTATTGTCGACATTCCAAATGGTTGCGTGTGTGTTCAACCTTGACAGTAGCCTTGGTTAACAAGACCCCGCGTTTATTACCACAGTGATACCCTGTATCACTGTTGCCCGTCTTCTTGCTTGACAATGTCTGGCCGAGATTGGATTGGCCCACGGCGCATGCACCAGCCAATAGGAATGCAGACACAATTTTGGCATTTCCAACTGCTTGCAGGGCGCCACTTTTTATGGACATGGATAAATAAATCACGACTCGAAGTGATTGCCTTATTTAGATTCCCTAAAGTCTTGATTGGGGACCACAGAATCCTCATACGATCAGTTTGTCAGATCGAGCTGAGTAAAGCCCTCTTTCCCTTGCCGCGCACTCCCCTTGAAGTTTACCAACTGCGGGAAAAAATTCTTCCCATTTTCTGCAAAAATATCACCCATTCCTTTTTTTTGCGACAATTGGAGGGAGAGAAACGCACTCTGGGGTAAATCTTTACTCGCACCTATCATGTGTCTGGCCAACTTGAAAGACGTCGATTAAAGTGTCTGCCAGTCTAAGTAATGGGTTTTAAAATCTAGACGATTTGGAAAACTGAAAAAAATGATGATAATAATATGGTCTCGACTGTAGAGTTTGGACGTCTCCATCTCGCACCATTCCAAGCATTCATCTGGTTAACTTCCGTTTCATTCGCGGAATAGAAGCTTTGAATATGAACACCGACTTTAGTGGTAGGAGCCCACTTCTGTAAATTTTTTTCCCTTTAATTGCAAGAGAGTAGCTGATTGTCATAATTACAAGTCTAAAACACCCAATGGGACGAAAAATTTGCTGCGTTATCAAAAAAAAGTTAGGCAGTAGCTCTTAGCCCTGGAAAAAAATTCCACCAGTTGATTGAGGACCCATTCACTGAATCCTTGATTTTCCTTCTTATTTTCCTTTTTTTGGTATCTAGTACACCCGTGAGAACGGATCCATTGATCAGCAAACTGGAAGCGGCTACACTGGTACTCAATACCTTTCAAGTTCTGATCGCCCATCCCCACCCTCCGCCCTTGTCGCTCCTGTCAACTCGGTTGGGTTCAACCAGGGTAGGATCTTAAATAATGTATTCGCCAAATGCAGGATGACCTCTTTTTAAACCAACATTTTGAAGGAGTCGTCTTACCTACTCAACCAAGTGCATCATGAAGCACTCAGTCATGCATTTGGCTTCGTTATGTAGCTCTCTGGGCTTCTGTAGCGCTCCCAGTCTGTCCTGGAGACAGAAGTCATGATCCTAGAGTCGAAGATGTATTGCCGACGTACAGGAGGACGAAGGAGTTACCAGCCGCTCAGCAGAAGTACAACGACGGAGCTCTAAGCCTCCCCTGTAACCAAAATGAAGAGTTTAAGGAGCAATCAAAGTATTGCAACCTCTTCCATGCTCCATGTCACTTTCAATGACATTGACGGATGTCTCTCGAGACAGACATCCTACTCTTTGGTTTCCCAAATCTCGGCTCCAGTCTGTATGTAATCATGAAGATGTCCAATGTCAAGACAAGGTGATTTTGCTCAGCAAAGTCAGGCAAATACGGAGGATGGTGGTGGTGGTGAGGAAGGTCCAACATCTCACCCCTTCCCTCCTTTCGCCCACCCGAAAAAATGTGGTATGAGGTCACCTCCTGCTCTGTTTTTAACAGACTGACTGCTTCGGGAGAACAGGTTGTACTTGCAAGTCTTCGAGTTGTCTTTTAAAAATAGGGTTTTAGGTAGTGAGTCGATTGGGGCTAGCCAATGATGTGTAACTTTGACCTTGAGGTGCAAAAGTCACCGCGCGCAATTTAAAGTGAAAGGAGTAATGAAGTAGTAGCCTTTGAAGTGTACTTTCCTTTCATCGCCTCATGCCAATGAGAGACCCACCCAACCCCATTTTCGGGTGGTGCTCTCTGCTCCCTCGTCAAATGCTCTACTGCCAACTACTAACTGGAAGCTTGCTCCATTTGGAAAGCAAATTAGACGTGTTTTTTGGAGGAGACAGGACCAGTAACATTTGATAAGATGATAAGAGATTCAAAAAATGGGAGGCGAAAAAAGGTGGAGAGATGAGCCCAAAGATTAATTGTGGAGGTAAACAGCCACAAGCTCTGCTGCCCCGAGCCAAAGTGAAAATTGCACAAAGCCTCCTCCCATCATTAGTTGCTTTGCTCACTGTTGACTGTCCGACTGTCACATTTCCCCTTTTCCATGAGGCGCTTCTCCCTCTGGACAAACACCTAATGTAAGAGGATTTGCCTTTCTGGAGGACTTTGAGACTTCACAATAATTATCGCTAGGAGGTTGGGGAAAAGTACTCCAGTGTATCTTTTCCCCTTTTTTTCCATTGATGCCTTTGTAATTTGCTTTTTGCTACTCATGGACTAATTGGTTGGCTTCATGAATTATTCCATTATATATTCCCCATTGGTGAAAATATGTATGCCCCTGGTTATAATGGCAAAAGTGAGGACAAAATCTCCTACCCAGTGGAGTTAACAATTTGGTAGGCAAATGCAATCTTGGGGGGAAAGCTCAGCGATCTGGGGTTAGGATTTCAGTGACCTCGCCACACGAGGTTTGTTCGAACGCAGAAATTGGAGGAGAAGCAACGGCCACACGAGTTTCCTCCACCTTGACCGTCATTTCTCCCCATCAATCAAGAAGTGAGCTGGTGGACTGGCTCTACTCTCAAACGGATTGAAAGAGGTCTTGACCTTATCACGCTTTAGAGGTCTAAATCGTTCACCGTTAATGGCGTATTGAAACGATAAACCTGAAACCAAACCATCTCCCCCATTTCCTCTCTTTTAGGTCAGGCCCTACCCCACAGTGCAACCGGTACCAATCCCAATTAGTTTTTCAAAACGGAATGAATTCCACACCACCGTCTCCCAATCGTCGGTCACTCCTTCACCCGCACACAGACACGCAATCACCACTACTTGAAACACCCTTCCACACGTCTTCCAAACCGTCCGTCCGACTTACTACCAGAATGAAAACTCGGTCGCTTGAGCCTCCTTCACCTCCTCCTCCTCCTTCTACCCCTCCTTCGTTACCTTTAGAAGGTGCCACCAAATAGCTGGTGATCGTTTTCGCATACACCACAGAATACGCCCTCGCCCCTCCTTACTCCTTGCAGAAGTGCCACCTCCCGCCAGCGTTGAGCTTACTAGCCCAAGCATATTTCGAGTGTATAAAGAATATCTTCACTTGTTTTGGCATTTCTGTGGTTGTCAAATTCTATTTTCGCCATGAGGAGTGCACGCAAAAAAAGGCAATCTATCGACGTAGTTATTTTTACAAAATATTGCTATGGTAACGACTTGGGTTTTAAAAAAATGTTTGCTGGATTGCGCGACTAAAATGTGGACTAAGCCAAATTGTTAAGTGAAAATTCCCTTTGATGATTCTTGCGACTCAGATTAGAATAGATTAATGCCGAAAAAGCAACAATAGTCTTTTTGCCCACTTGGCGGTCACAGATTGCGTCTTCTTAAACAAATTGCTTATTTAATGATAAAACATTTTAAATTTTTCTCAAAAGTAATTAATAAGGTAAATTACAGTTTGTCATGGAATATTTTGCTAAAGAAAAATATTTATCTATTTGGATTGATTTTATTTGAATCTGCATTTGTGAATGCAAATAAGTAAACAGGCATCATAACGCCTAAGTTTTCTCTAAAGAAGCGATACGATGGGGTAATTTGAGATAAGTTAGAAAGAGGTGGCATTTGTTGATTCCCCTGTCACCGAAATCCGTGAGGACTGCGGGCTCCGAGTGGTCTGAAGTACATTTAAAACAGTCGCTTTTGGCTACAAAACACGCGTAAAAAGATAGGAAGAATAACCAAATTTGAAAGGGCCAAAGAGTTTAGAATTTTGGGGAAGGTGCCACAAAGAGCTTTTGATGGCCATTTATTTTGCATATGTTATGGAGACCCGCCTTGGGTGTAATTTCTTTGCCAAATGGCCGACTAACATGCGATGAGAAATGGCTTTTACACTTCAAAGTCAATCGTAAAGCGAAGGAACAGTTGATTATCTTCATATCACTTGTTCAACAATTCCAGCCGCGAACCAACTCAATCCCAGAGGTTTTTGTCCGCTTTTGCACTTAACAAATGCGACATGCTATATATAAGATGATCCAGGACATGTGAGAAGATTTTCTCCCCTAAATGTTACTAGGAGAGTCTAGAATATTTACCCAAATGAAAGAGCGTTCTATTTTACCCTCATTTTGCACTTCTAGGTGGAAGGAAGGAGTTGGGTTAGGGCACACTGCCTCACCACTCCCCTCACCATCATCAAACGTATTCTTCCAACTGACTTTATTTCAAGTAATAGTCACAACCTTTTCTTTTCACTAAACAACCACATGTGCACACCTAAAGTATGAAGTTTGAAAAGGAAAAAATAAGGTAGTAGCGGCAGGCGGTTAGGCCGGAGTTTCTTTTTACTCCTAGGGAAAAAGTTCGTTTTGTAAAGTTTTAAAACTTTATTGGCCAGCGTCCTGATAAATAGGAATGATCTATTGTGATTGTTTAAGTATATAAACTATTCTTAGAAAGGTTTCACAAATTATTATCATTTTTAATAATGGGAATTCGTACCCACTTTTTCAATACATGCCTTAACAGATTGAATAGCACCTGTTTTTGATATTAGAAACTTGGCAACAAAGAATAAGACCATGGAATTATCTTTGAAACACTGCATTAAGCAATCACTGTGATTAAATCAACGCAACGGTACCTCTTTAAATAATGCTTAAGCGCCGAATAAATCCAAGAGTAGTTTATTTTACTTAAATGCGACGAGTAGTTGTGGCGTGGTAAACCAGCCCGTTAATTAACTTCGTTACTCCTTCTAAGGGAAAAGGCGGGACTTTAAAAGATCAGACATGTCGAAGATATGGTGAGTAATCAAATTCAAGCCTTTTTTTCTATCTAACTTAATTTGTACTCAGAAATACGGTCTCAACAGCCATAGAGTGAACTGAGAAATTTTAGCTCCTAGTACTTATCTCACAAACGTGGGACTGCTAAATAATATTTAGTGCATTGAACTGGTAGATAACTTCATTGCCATTTTTTTTATAAATTATAAAGGAAAAGTAATCCTGATTTACACATTTATGTAGAGTTCTACTTCCTTTCTATTCTTTCCCTTGGGTATAATTACTTCAATTTGTTTTTCATTTCTAGTAAAACTACAAATTAGGTAAAGCTTCGTCATATTTATTTCCTTTGTCACGAACACAATTGCCTTACAAGTTGGAAAAGAAACCGCAGGTGAACCGTACCCATCATTACCGATTTTGGATTACGGTGATTTGGACGTTGGGGAGGCTGTTCCGCCCATAGACGATGCAGTATCATTTAAATGTTTCTTTTCAAACAAATTTTATGCACTGTGATGCATACTTACCCCCTTTCAATTCACACAGCTAATTTGACCTCTCTATGCATTGCGTTGCATTGGAAGTCTCGAATTTATGAGTGTGTGTGTGTGTGTATGTGTATGTAAGTGTAGGTGAAACCGGTTTTACCAATTGCCGCTAAGGTCAAGAAAGTAGGTTCGCAATTGGCGCCTCAAGTTTGACTCTGGTTGCAGCTTGAGCCATGCTGTGACACTGATGTTGGCTACCTTCGTGTCCGTTTCACCAGAGGTGATTAGTTGTGTCGCTGTCCGGTTCATATTTGCTGTCAAGACTTTGCTTTATGAGATTAGGCCATGAACCTGTCCAGGAAGTGCTTTCATGCGCTCAGGTCAAGCCTGGACTTCGGAAGTTTGTTAGGCAAATATAAGGATGGTAAGCTGCTCGCTCCCCTCCTACCCAATGCTTACTTTCATAGCTTCATCGCCCTCCAATTTCTACACCCAACTCTTACGGTTACAATTCTCCTATCAGTGTTTCACCTAGACATTCAAGGCGGCTTCGACGCTCGTCGAACTTCTTGATAGTCTCGTTACCTGTGTTCACCGTTGGTTTCGAAAGAGTCGTCCAAAGGGTCAGCTTGGCAATGCGTTAATTGGGCCTAAAGTTTGCAAGAACGACTTCTGTGGTGAGGAGGGGGGGCTGGTAATCACCACGGCCGAGGCTGTCAATGACAGATAGGCAAACAGGCAGAAGATGGCTTGATTTCTTAATATCTCTCAATCGAATGTTCCACCCCCGAGTGGTTAATATTCTCCTCATCACACCGTGTGGTATCGCGCCGTAGTGCACTTGAGATCTTCAAGGGCTTCGGGTTGTGTGTCTTCGCTGTCATCTTTATTAACTGTGTCTAGACCGAAGTGGCTCATGAAATATCCGCCAGCCACTGTCACGGTAACAGCCCCCTCTTATGTACCCTCCTCTGCCCTTCAAACACTTCAAGAAAGTCGTCCAAAAACTCAAGTGTTGGGTGGTAAGACAGATAACCAACTAATTTAACCAAAAAAATTAAAACCTCATGGATGAGCTCTCGTTCCTTCACGATTTATCTGCGTCTTAGCCTCCGCGACCGATCACCTCTTTCCTATGGCAACCAACATTCCTCAATACGTCATTAAAAAGGTGACATTCCATTCTATTAAAAAAAGGAAGGGAAATCACCCCCTAGTAATCTGTATACTTTAGAATAATTAATAAGTTGATTGTAGTAAGAAATAAAAAAGACTGTTGCTACTGAAGAAACCTAGCAAGCAAGCATCACGAGAGCCGCATTCGTTCCCTTGACCACGTGATCCAAGCTGGATGGAGAGGCACAAGTGTGCCTTGAAATAGCGAGTCGAGATCGTGTCTGGAGGGCAATAAATTGTCATGCCGACTTCATCATTACGGTGGCTGAAATATTCTATACTCAGACCTTGGAGTAGGGCGTGGAGGGGGGAGGAAGGTTGACCTTGGAGGCGGCTGACTACAAGAATCCTTCAGTCTCCTTCATGTCTAGAGCCTTCACCCCCCAGCAGAAGGTTTGGGGAAGACTAGAGTAGGCTAAGTGGGAAGCGAAATCTAATTCTGGGTTCACTGACGGGTTGCCAAATCTAAACTGGGGTATGAAAGGGGACACTACCGTGACTGTGCTGTGCGCAGCTGCAAGTGGTGTGTCTCCATTGATCAGAAGGTCAGTCACCCAGGAGTAGGGCATTTGACTGACACACAGACGAGATTTCCGTCTGTCTGTCCGCCATTGACAACCTCGTCTGTGGTGACTTCCACTCCACCACTGCCACAGAAGCCGTCACTGTGATCGATGTACAACCCTTCTTAAGCCAACGGTGAAAACAAGCATCTGGAATATCGAAAAGTTTGTGCATGCTTGGTGGTGACATGGAGACGGGTTTGCGCAACGATAGAGTAAAGTAGGTTATCCTAAGATGAGCTACTTCAGACGCAGTGGCAAATCCTTTCAAGAGTGTCGAAACGCCTCTAGAGGTGTCAACATCTTGCTGACAGATGGGCGGACGCCTGCCTGTTTGCCTGTCTGGTAGTGATGATGTTGGGCGTGATGATTCCCAACCTATCACTGCCAGAGGAACCTTTTCCGTAAACATTTGGTCAAAGCGTGGGGTGTCCGTCTGATCGATGCATTATCAGGGTTAACGTGTAAAAAATTTGCAAAACAGATAAACAGACGCCTCAGCGGACACGTTAAACAACACGGCACAACCATTTGTGAACACTTGGTGCTAATATCACGAAGAAGTTGCGTGACGACGAGGAGGTAAAGCAATCCATCGGTGAGAGAGATTTACCGGAGGAATGAGAGCATGCATTGAAGTGGGGGGGTGGGGAGGAGGACCATGGAAGCGCTCGCCCTGAGGGGCGATCTTAGCAATGTCAGGAGTCCCGGTCAGACTTAAACACGCCTCGCGGACAAACTGAAGCGCGTCATAACGAAACGCAACCTTCATTCTGCTTGAAGTAATTGCTTCCCAGACACCCTGTATGCTTTCAATGAAACAACTTCCTGACTTGTATACATGAAACATTAATAAGCGTCATTTACCTATTTATTGCTCAGGCAAAGAATAATGATAGCACGCCTACAGGCGGAAGACAATCTGTCAGCTCGAAACACGAAAAGGCACTTTGTGGTGCTGTAAGACGCGGCAAGAAGTGACCAAAAACAAGCCAAAAAATTAAGAAAACAAAGAGAAGGAGAGAAGAAGGTACAAGTGATTACACATACGTACATATTTCATTAAGAGGTCTTGAAATAATAGGGGCAAGGGGAGAAAATGACTTGGGTTAAAATGCACACGGCCTTGAAAGAAAGGAGTAAAAGGAGGGGAAGAAGAAGGAAGGAGGGGATAGGGGGGAAGTGGGAAGGAGAACCGAGAGTTGGACACGTGTTGAAAAGATCTGCCGACCAACCAAGTGAATGAGCGCTCTGTAGGAAAGGAAATGCGAATCAAGGGAGTGGAAAAAAAAGTGGTACTGAAAAGTCAGAAAAAAGCATTTCCAAGTACCTATCGGAGATTAAATCTCTACAACTCCAGGCTGCTCCTGCTCCGAGTCTGCGTCTGCTAGCGGCAAAGCAGTGGATGTATTCTTTGAAATTGGCGAATCCAGAAAGACATCCTCCTCGTCTAATTCTGCCTCCTCTGCTGCCACCGCCGCTGTCATAAATCTGGCAACTTTGGACGATGAGGCGGCCGCAGAGTTGGAGGAAGACGAGGTGGTATTGGTGGTGGTGTTGGTGGTGGTAGTGGTAGGTGTAGCGGTTCGGGAGGTGTAGGGAAGAGTCGCTGATCGCATAATTGTGGGTCCGCGAACCATACCACTGGTTCCTAGGCTTTTTGGACGATCTAGAGAAAATGGGCCAAGAAGTGGAGACATAAATTAAACACTCCAAATGGAGTGGAAGAATTTTGACTATCCAAAAAAAGGTAGGGACGAGGCGGGGTACAATTGAATCGTAAAGCATAAGTGTAAGTGAAACCGCTTAAAAATACATTTTCAGGAAATTATGGTTGTTCTCAAACTTAGAAAATGTACTTAGCTAACATCCTCTAGTAGATAGAAAAGGAACGATGGTGCATGGATAAACCGCACGCAGATGATGAAGCGGAGGGAAAGGAGAGGGTAAAAGTACGCCTTCTGGTTTTCTTTATGCCAAAAAGAATAAAGCCGAGACTTGTCAGATGATTCGATGTGAAGGGTTCATTTCTAGGGAAAGGGCAAAAAATAAGATGTTCGAAGAGTAACACTTTCCCTAAGGTCAGAGCCTCATCTTCTGCAGCACTGGTTAGGGGAAAGGCGGGCAGAAAAAAACGGATCCAAGTGGAAGCATCAAACGCACCAAAGAAAAGCCACATTTACACTTTAAACTTTCCCAACTTTATGGGAAAAAAATGAGAAAAAGTAGTCTCCTGGGCATTGTGCAACCCCTTAATAACATCCCTCGAGAGGACTCAGACAGGGCCTCTTGATGGCGGCGTGTACTATACGTCTAAGTGGATCCGTTTGATCTCCTGAGAAAAAGCTTCCACAGGGAAAAGAGGTCATTATGCCGCATCGCCAGTTTCCCCTCACAGCCAGTAAAGAATGAGTCAAAAGTGTCTGATTTACGTACTGCGAGATTGTAAAATGTGAAGGCCTAAAAGTCGAAAAAAGTCAAATCGTCGTGAAGTAAAAAGGGAGGATTGAATGCCAAGGAAAAAAAATGTCTTAAACAAGTCTTCCTTCGGAATGCCATTAGCATTCAAACTTTGCGCCTAGACTAGTGCTGTTCGGCCTTTAGAAATAAGAATGCCAATGGTAGTAGTGAAGAGGGGACCAGGGAACCGCTCAAAAAAGTGCTGCCGATAACACCTTCCGTGGATAGCGTTGAGGTGGTCAATGAGACGGAGATTATGTATACGAGTGAATCGGTCTCCACGTTTCATAATCCACACACTGTCAGTTTTTAAAATCGACCTCTCCCAGACTCGACTTGCGCGTCACAGGAGGAGAAATAAAACATTTAAAAAGTACAGGTGGATAGACGGGTATAATTCAACCACCAATTAAAAAAAGGCAAGTGCAGATAGAGGGAACTTTGCAGGCCTCCTGCCTGCACTGTTAGAGTACTCGCTACAAAGGTCCTAGGGAAAAATTTAACACTACAGGCTAGACACTTTATAGGTCTAATTTGACAACAATTTGTATTAATTGTCCTGGCTGAAGCAGCTACTTACATAAAGGTCATTAATCTCCACGGGCTACAAACGTGTCCCAATTTATTACTTTAAATTCAGCCAGCATGTTGGGGACACAAATACAATGAACTATAGTTGTTGCATAGTTGTAAGACCAAGTTCGGGTAAGAAAATCGGGGTGTCACATATATGTGACGTTAGTGAAGAGCGTGCTAATGGCACATCACATCAACATCAGACATTGCGTATTCAATGACTTGATACTAAGGTAAATGACAAACCCAATTTGAAGGCTAAGGATACTATGTTTTTGTCGTATCCCCACCTTTAGTCGTCGTTGAACCCCTCCGCAGGTCGTCTCCAATATACTGCCTGCCTTTTCCCGTTTTCGTGATTTAAATGTCGACCTCTTGTAAAATTACATTCTTCCAAATAATATGGAATTCTTCAGTAACTCGACATATCTATGGCTACATTTACGAAAAGAAGAGGTTCAGGTACCCCAGCAGTGTCTTCAACACCCCTGAGTACGTTCAAACCCACGGCTTGTAGAGGATGAAAGATAGATGAAAAAAAAGGTCCATTTTTTCAAAAAAAGAGCAAAACCTTCACCCTTTTAACATTAATCCATTGTGGATTCAATTAAGACAAAATAGAAAAGCACTAAATAAGGTATCCTGCTAGGGAGCCCTAGAAAACACTCACCATCTCGGGCAACAGTGGTGGAACAAAGAGAGAGGGATGAGAACTGAGGTGGTGGTGGTGTAGTGGTGGAGATGGCAGCGCTGGAAATGACAGATTGGAGGTTTTTCAACCACCCCAACTTAGCCTCCTCGGAGGGTGCTCGAAAGAGGAGGATTGCAGTGGATTTGCCACAGGGTCGAAGCACGTAGTCACGTTTCTCAAGATGCGAGAGATGCAACTTCACCTATTTGAATAGACGTAAAGGAGGGGTGATATGGAATAGCTTGACGGGAAATGGAGTCCTGGCAAGCGTGACTACTCCTCTCTGGTAAAGTGAATGTGCTCCGAATACCAATAAGTCCGTCAACCAAGATAGCAGGCAATGGCGGTAGTGTGTGGATGCATGCGTTGGTTAAATTTCTTGTGAGTGAAGATGCAAAACCCATGAGTGTCTACAGAAGGCTTAGAATAGAGTAGGGCACGATGATGAGACACACAGCTCTGCAGCACAAGGACACTCGAATGATGCTGTGATGGTTCCTGTTCCACATCCTCCAGCACAGCAGTAACTCCTATGAACATTCAGGGGGGGGCATGTGAGAGGCCAGGTCAACGTATAACTTGTCGAGGAATTGTCCGAAAGATGATGAACACGAGCACTAACGGAATTTTTGCACTGTGGAGAAGTTGGTGTGAGACTGGCACCAAGACTACCAGAATGAAGATGGGTCAGAGGGACTGACAAATCTTTCTGTCCCAAAGATGCCAAAATCAAGAATATATGACAAGCTCTGTTAAAACTTAGGGGTCTACCATGCTACTGAAATCCGAGTTAGTACAGCCTTGTGAAACATAAATAAAAGTAGCGGTTTTTTGGCTTCGGAAATCTAACATAAAGTGTGAAATCCATAATTCGTGTCATTTAATGGTAACGAATGGGCAATATTTCTGTCAAACCTCAAAAAATGTCAGGAATGATTTGAAGATTGGCTATTTGTCTGTCATGAATGATGGTGAAAGCAGTGGCGGTAGTCAAATCGGTGATATAGACAATGAAGATAACAATGACAGCGGTGATAATGTAGTTAGTTAGTGATGTTAGCTTAAAAAAGAGCACTTAACTCACCTGACAATGCAGGCACTGTAAAGCCGCGGGCGGCGATATCACATGCCAGCAAGCCCGCTTACACAGCTCACATACAGCCGGCACACGGAAGTGGATGCGTTGCAGCATGTGACCCTGCAGAGGGATTGGATTTGCCGCCGTACCAGGACATGGGATGGAGGTGAGTAGAGGATCACTGGAGACCGCATGGCTCAGTATCTGACCGGAGGAGTTGGTCCGCGATTTCAGTGCCACCGCAGGACCCAATTGGAGGGCCTTAGCGGCACCGGTGGAGAAGGTGCCAGAGGCGGAGAAACTCAACTTTCGAGGAAGGGTTTTTGAGATGCCTAAATGGACACAATGAGAGCGACTCATTACCCATCAGTGGTTCATCAACACCATAAAAGTGATAGCCTCCTTTGTAGAATTTCAGGGTTGACCTGAAGCAGTCATTTTGCTTCTATAGAAGAAGGCACTTCACTTTTTCTTCGGGCACAAAAAGACGGTAATTTTGGTGGCTAACATTAACACACTTTTCCGCTGATAAGCGTAGTTTCGTGGCCTTTTCAGGTGTCAATAACACCCAGAAAAAACTGCTTCGACGCTTGGACACAAAAAAGAGGCAAATCGACAAAAAAATATAAGAAATGAAAAGTTCCATCTTCTCTCCGCTGTTTTCTTTGGTTGACTCAAACCCATCCCTTAGCTTTGTTTTAACTCGGAAAATATAGAAATTGCTGTTATCAGAATGCCAACCTTTTAGCCAATGAGAAAGGTGGATCCAAAGTTGAGGTCGTTGAGAGTGTGAAAGAAAAACAGGAAATTCGATTCCCTATTTAGATACTACTCCAAAATGTGCCAATTCTTCAAAGACATTACTGAAAAAGTGGTCAACGTCTTTTCTTGAACTAACACTGTCACTTAGATTCTTGTGGCGCTTGGACAGGAAATGCTATGGGACTCAACAATCCAGTCCGTGGTTGATGTAACCTTAGATCAACTTAGTACAACCACCCAGTTTTTTTTTCACTTCTTGTGAAATCGAAAAACTAACTTGATGACTTAGATCATGTGGATAGTTCAGGAGGAAGAAGTATATCCTTCATAGTCTGGAAGGGCAAATCCAAAAATATAAAAAAATGGAGCAATTTTTTGATCCAGCAACAACTATCCTCGGTGAATCTAAGACAGTGTACTGCATAGAAGCGTAAGTTCCCAACAACCTCTACTGCTATCGCATTTCATCAGAGCAACATCTTTCCTGCACTATTATTTTTTTCAAGGGGAAAACCTTCTCGGGGATCATTCTTGAGGTATGAGGTCCTGCAGTGTGATGTCTTGTGAGAAAAAAGTCTCCTTTCGACTGATTGGCTCTTCCCTCGAGTTCCAACAAGTAGACAGATCTCAACCGTAACAGCTTGAACATCAGAAAGTGAACGATTCCGCACAGGACAAGCATAGTTTTCTGGGGAGAAGACGCCAGATTGTAAATTCGACGTCAGAATACGAAAGTCACTTCTCATCACAAGCTAGCTAGTACGCCAGCAAAGGATCGCGCACAACAACACCCTTTTGTAACCCACATAAAAGAGATGAAGCTTAGTGCCTTTCATCTGCTGTCAACGCATGCGTGTGACACTCACTTTCTTGGAACTTTCCACGAGTTTCTTAGATAATTGGGGTGTAAACAAACGTTGCTCTTCATGCATTAATCTCAAGGTGTATCGTGTCGGTGGCGACGCGTAATTCGCTATGCTAATCATGGATGAAGGGTGATGTGATGAGCCTAAGTTTGACCAATCCATTAAAAGAAGGCGCGTTTTGTTATTGCTGTCTCATGCAGATGTCATACGAATCGGAAGTTGGGAGCAATCACTCAGCTCACACTTTACTGGACTAGAGGGTACCAAAGACGGCTGGCCTATAAATTTGTCAACTGTTATGCGACAATGCTGCGCCCCAAGGATATCAACTATCCCTGGTTTAAGTCATCACTTCTGCCATCAAAATTCCAAAAGACCTGTTATAAATACTACAAAAGACCTTATCAGCAATGCAGAACAAATCAGCTAACCAAGTAGCCCAGTAGATTGAGAAGGCTTTGAAGGCGATGTAGCACAATGCGGACTGGAATCCGGACTTGAGACACGAGCCTCCAAGGCCTGCCTAATCCCTCCTCCACTTGCACCACCAGCCTCACATTGATCAAAGATGATCTGAAATATCCTTGGTAGATCCTCCGCCGGTGCATGGAGTACATCGCACGAGGTAACACTACGCACATGGAGGATGGCATTCAATGGAAGGTCCAGAAGAAGATTCGGTCCAGGACGCGAGATCTTGCGACTGGATGTAGCAGAGCCAGTGGAACTCGAGGTAGCAGCAGCCTCCAATGGTAAGACGAGGCTGTCAATTGGAGCGGATGATTGAGCACTGTCGAGGGCTTTTACAGTGTCCCACACCAGGAAGCGGCTGAAAGTTAGCTGAAAAGGGGAAGGAAAAAAAAGGTGGATATATCCACATGCCGATGGATTACTAGCCATTCCCTTCCCACCCTAATCAGTCCTACTTGATAATAATCATTGTGGTTTGGGGATAGAATAAGGGGAGTGGTGGTTAAGGTGCGATGCGAAAGCGCGCGATGGAAATTAGGAGGGAGGAAGGCAGGAAGGGGAAGGAGGTTGTTAATGAACATTACTGACTGCTCATTCTAGGGCTCACCCAAGCTGTACGAAGAAATAGGCATAGAACTGAAAAGAGGAAAAAGAGATAATAAATTTAAACAACTTCATACAGATCTTGCACAAAAAAAAACTCTTTCAACTTAATTTATTTGTCAAAGTGATCAACTCTACAAACGCCTACTTCTTTCGAAACAACACGCAGTCTGGTTGTAAATTTCACTCCTACAAAATGTACCTTGTCCCTGAAAGCAAAGAAAAAATTTATCTCTCCTTCTATCAGAAGGTTATTTCCCAACTGTCTATTCTATTTTGCACATGTCCAGTTCCAAGAAAAGGTGGTAAACATCACTAGTGCAAATGCGAATCTTTTCAGGGCTATATTTTGCCGTGGTGTGAGGCTACGTATTTGCTTTTGCCCCATGGATTGACTAGACCTAGCAGGTTCTAAAGCACGTGGATAGATTTCAATTATAACTGTTGTGTGGGCTTCAGCAAGTGAATGAAGTCATCGCAGATGGAGTTCTGTCTGAGAAGTGTGGAGTGACCAGTAAGTGGATTGTTTGACTGTGACCTTAGAATACCAAAACCATTTTTCATTATTGGTCAGTTGCTTGCATGACTTATGTGAAAGAGGTGAGATGGTGATGATGACGAAAATGGGAATCTTTGAAGTGTGTGAGTGGAGCCCATTTGATTGGCCTTTTACCACGACTTTCCCTTCATCATTTATGTTGGCATGAATTATTTTACAATCTCTTAGGCTAAACGTAAGTGTAATTCTTTATGATTAAGAATTGATAGCGCCCACGAAAATGATGCCGCTCTCTGTCTTCTAGTGGATCACCACCAGGATAGGATTTCTTTAAAAACCTTCTTTTGCTATTACACCTTCTTCAAGTACTCTAAGAACGATATGAGGAGGTTTAGGGCTTCGCAAATGAGATAAACTTGAAGCACGTCAATTTTTACTGACGCCGAATCAACAGGAGAGTGGTAGGACGTAGGATGCGAAGTATTTACGAATGGTACGCACTTGACATCTTATTCTAAGGTATTAGTTTGTCTTCAAATGCCAATCGTAAGCATATCCCTCGACTTGAAAGATAAATGCAGCGACTACTCAGATGTAATACTATCAAACGATCTGCTCGTCTGTCTCACGGTTCACTTTATTTCAAGTGGTTGTTTATGACAACCGATATGGAGGGGCGATCACAAGAGATATAAGAATAACTACAAGTCGTTATAAATCCACCCATGTTGCTACTCCTTCAACATTGTACTTACGTAGAGGCAACTCAAACGTTAAAACAAACCTTGGCAAATCTCTGATCCCACACTAATTTTTTTCGTCGACCCGGTTTTCCGGGCATATCCAGATGACCCGAGAAGCAGAAATTGATTGGCAGTGGTGAGGGAAGGAGAAGACCGCCGATAGATGCAGAGGGGACAAGGAGGGGTCGACGGGGTGAGGAGAGACTGGAGACTCGATGCAAACGTGTGGGAGAACGCGCCATCTCCAAGGGCGGCAGATGATCCGCTTCGGATTCGCCTTCGGGTGTTATTGCCTTGAAATAGAAATTTAAATAGAATTTAGTTATGAGAATAGTCTGACAAGAGGCTGGGCTGGATAGATGGGCAGATGAAGTGTTTTAAACACAGGAATAGGTGAATGGTTTAATGGGTAGACGTAGTAGATGAATGAACGGCTATTTGTAAATTAGATTTGTGGAAAAGTTTTAAATTAGAATGAGAGATTAGTCACACACAGACACTGACCAAGTGACTCAGCAAACATTTGTGTAAGTACGCAGAGTTGTGGAATGAAGTCCGGTAGGCAACGCACACATCGCAGCAATTGCGCAGAGGTTTTAATTACGTAGCTCACTCTGTCTCAGCTCATAGCCCCTACACACTGCCGGTTCCTAACCATTTCACACGCTTAATGTCGACAGAGACAATTCTAGCAGTTCATGCGCCACTCTAGAGTTTCGGGGAAAAACTAGAAGATGCAATGAATTTTGGGCATCTATTCCAGCTAGTTTTTGATCCACAAACCTTCTAGATTCTCCTAAAGGAGGATATCCGATTAATCAAGTACCTCGGCAGTTAGCTGATGTTCCGCCTCACCGGTGGTTTTGCGAGCAAGTCGACTTCGAAGGGTTCTAGCCCCACCGGCGTTGCCAAGAGGAGCAGGAATGCGATGAAGAGTGGCAGTATTGGGTGTAGCGGAGGCAGCAGCGTCTGCCACAGCTGCTTTCAAAGCGGTATTGACAGCGTTCAGTTGGATCTGAAGTGCGGCCACCTCCTCGGAGAGGTGAATCACTTGATTTCGCGCAATTTGAGCAGACTCCTGACTGGCGTGGAACATGGTACGCGCCTGTATAGAAGGCAGGCAGAAAGTAGAGTAATTTAGAATGGCTTGATATTGCGGCTGGGGATGTGAATGAACTATGGGGGGTACGGAGCGGTACAAAAGAGGCATCTTGCCAACTGCTAATCATTCACTTGATCTGGGTCAATCAATCCACCTATCAGGAATAAAAAGTATCAATTTTTTTTCCTTTGTTTCTTCTTAAGTGACACACAGGAAGTAACTCCAACTAATGGGACGAGTGGCAAAATCATCGCTTTTGGTGGCCTCTGAATCGTAAAAATGCAACGCTCTTGCCAAATGGCGGCAGTCAATTTTGCACTTGTCAAAAGAGCATGTACACGCGGAATTAGGAATCAAAAGTGCGCCAAACCAATTAAGTACTTTCTACAGCATCTGTGGCAGATGAATAGTCAAAAAAGCAATTTTTTTCCAACAGTGTTTTCATACGACATTCCACTGTGCGACTCAAGAGGTAAACGACAAATGCAAACTACAATTCTTATTTATTCTTCAGATTTGCAGCCCAAGTTAAAGTAAGCCGAGAATGAAGCGGGTAGGGGTAAAGTATCAGTGAAGTGAAAGAGGGAAATGAAACGGGATTAAAACCCCATGATACTACTCCATACTGTTGGTAAAGGCTCCTACGGAACTCACTCGCTAAAGAGCACATTCCAGCTTTATCAATTTCGCTATCAGGATCTCTCAGTCCAGGCACCAACACTTGCAGCGATTAGTCTCTTCAAATCATGAACGTCTTAAAACTCAGCCATTCTGTTTGTGGCGCAGGAGTGTGCAAATGGTACGTGTCACACATCTGTGACACCGGATTTAGATGAGAAAATCAAGACGCCACATACATGTGACGTTGATAATAAACCTTATCGGCAACAATTCATGGGTAAATTAACGATAGGTATCAATATCATTACGAAGAACCACTTAATTATGTCATTATTAATTTCACTTCACTGGTCTGCTGCTGTGATGATCGAAGGAGGAAACGCCGAAGGCAACATTCAACGGATCTCCCTGCTGTTTGACTTACACGACACCGACTGAGTGAATGAGACGAATCAAGGAATGAACTTGTAATGAACACAAAGGGATTCAGGTTAGGGGATAGATGAATCCACTTTTCAGTGGAGGGTGCGAGAGGTTACCTACCCAGGAAAAATTAAGAAGTAAATGCTATGACTAGGCTATTCAAAGAAGCCTGGTGGATGTGAATGCCATGACGGAAGTAGGTGGTCATGTGTTCCCCATTGTGGTCGGTAAGTCACACATCGGTGTAAAGGTGAACTGCAGTAATTCAATTGGTCCAATTTAAAAGTTTTGGATCCGAAAGAGTTTAACAAATTAATTGTGTCAACACTTCATTCCATGATGTCCTAGAAAGTGCAGAACCCTAAGAATTTGCTGTGAATGTTAATTAACCATTGGCGCCAAGTTAGAGAGTTAATAGTACCTTCAAAATGTCATCTCATGCTCCACCTATTTTCCAGTGCTAAGTCTAGTCACGATCAAAGTTGACAACACAGACGTGACTACTTAATAACGATAATGGGGACTTGCGAGGGAGCATGGGCAAATGTGCACCCATGGAAGGTGGTCAGTTGAACGGATAAGCTCGTGGTAGTGATGCCGTCCAGTCCTAAGCAATGGTAGCAACAAGTGAAGAACTGCAACAGACTCAGAAAACTGGCGAAAAGGCGTCTTTCGATGACACATTCCACTTAGCCGTGCGTACAACTGCACGGACCAGACGAAAGGAGAGGCACATACACAAACATGAATATGCACACATCCCACTGTGACCTTGCGAATGGCATGCATGTGTGCGTGCTTGGGCGAAGGTGCGTAAGGCAAAATCAATGTCCGCACAGAAGTGGGCGACGTGCTATGCGGTACCGTTGCGTGGTGTGCATTTCCGGCTTCAATACGCTCGGACGACTGCAATGCATGTGTGTACACCTCTGCTTGCTTTTCTCACACATACACACACACACGTGGACAACGCTGAAATGGGCACCTTGGGGACCCACTTCACAGTCACCATCTACGCAATTACAAAACTGTGGCATGAAGTAAAAAGAATCAGTTAATTCAACATGACGGTACGGTGATCCTGTTTACGTGACTAAATAGCACTTCTGACAACAATGTCAGTGAAGTCTATGACACCGACTAGGGAATGCCAAAGAATGACACATGTCAAATCGCCGATTAAATGCAAAAATTCGTCATGACATGTTTGACTGATTTGCCAAATCAAGTGAGAAAATAAAGCTGCGAGATATTGCAAGAAAGCTATTGACAGCACACACAAACAATTGTTAAATTAAACACTTCGATAGGAAAAGCTACGATGAGAAGTCACTGAATCGTGTGATAGGTGAAGATGGGAAGTTGAGAGGAGTTACCGACTCAATTTCGTGACAAGTAAGTGATTGTGCCAAGTAAGTTGAGTAAACCTGTCTTGAGGAGGATGGCAGTTTGAAATAAATGCTAACGGTTGGCAGTCGAGCTTGGATTTTGGTGGTCCATTTTCTTCTGAGACCCTGTTACTACATTGACTCGCATGTAATCATCGCCACACACTTTCTCTTGTGTTGAAAATTTTCAAGACAAGAAAAAGTAGTACTCGAGGCACACAAAGCAAATTAGAATAATTTGATGTGAGAAGAAGACAGTAAATCAGGTAACGCACACACCATGGAGACTCATTTTCGACTGGTGTTACCTACCGCCAACAGGAGAAAGGAGAGGAGAGCGATATCAAAATACCAGGACATTCTAGCAGCATCACCGCCTATCCGCCTTAGGACTGGGACAGTGCGGTAGAATTTCATGTTTTAACAACTGAAAAATGCAATTTGGGTACATGTATGGGAGCCTGCACTTAGGACAGATTAATGTCTACAATAAGGAAGATCAACCGTTATTTCCGCTTATATAGAAAAGTAGAAGAAGGATAATAAAGAAGCTTTAAATCTACCTCATGACATGGCGTTCTAAGGAATGCAGTTATTTTGAGACTCCACCCTAACTCTCCTCGGGTCATCAGAAATGCCAGACCTTCCCATTAAAATTGAAAGAGCGACCGACTTGATACGACTAATTACTATTTCTTCTTTCGCCTTGGAGTGTAGAAAATCGTCCAACTAAAGCCACACCAAAAATTGTACTTTGAAAGAAGTGTTCAAGACGATCTTCTAGAGGCAAAAACATCTATCATGCAAAACTACTCAAGAGTATGTCTAAATGATATCGTAAAAATAAAATTACTCAATCACAGGACAATTGACAATGCAACACACCTCTTTCATCTCAAGCCGATGTTTAGTCTGCATCTGTTCATACTCGCTCACCAACCGCTTGTACTTCCTATCCAAATGTCGAAAGAGGTGTTGTTGACTGGTGAACTTCTTGGCACTCTTGGATTTCAAAGCCACAGTGGTGGGATGACCATCGGAGGGCATGCTGACCCCACTAAGCCCCCCTGTCTCGGCACTTCTTCGCATTGACTCCATCTCCGAGAGCATCATCAATTCTAGGGCGTCGGCGTTCTCACCAGAGAGGATCTAGAAAGGAGGAGGTCGTCAGGAGCGTGTCAACGTCAATCGGTTAGATTGGAGAAAAAAGAGTACAAAAAAGAAACAAGCGCTGTTAAAACGTAGATGCGCTGAACGCAGAAAAAAAAAGATAACAAAATTAAGAGTAGAAAACATACGGCTTTAGAGAGTCTACAAAGGTAAGTGAGAGGACCGAATAGCAGTTATTAGTAGCATTAGGTCTAATCAAAAGCCCACCGGGTCACCTATCCAAATGTCAGCTTAACAGAAGTCATGATGCACCAAAAAAGAAAGCAAATAAGCAAGTGATTGAGGAGACACCGAGTTAATACGCAAGGCCATGACAAATTGGCGGTGTACTTCATTTGTCGGTTGGGCTGGTTGAAAAAATGGGAAGCTTAGAGAGGGAAATAGGCCTAGGGATATGCAAATATTTACACCATAGGTTTATTTGCTTGTCCACTTTTGGGGAATCAAATGAACTGAAGGGAGAGGGAGGGAGGGAGGGGGAAGGGTGAACCGTGTTGCAAAAAAATACATACTTCAACCTTTCTTATAAAATTGCGATTTCCTACTTACTAGGTAATATGTCGCACAAATGGTAAAAAAGCCACTCTATTTATAATTCCTTTTGCCTGCGCACAATAAAATTACTTTCAAATAAAGACCTTCCACTGTTATAACGTGACAGATGGGTAAACTTGGTTTAGGTGAACTGTTAATCGGGTAGACCCATCCAGTCTCCGTGGTTTCGATTTCCTGATCGGCACTATGACGTTTTGCCTATGGCCGTAGGAGGACTTATTGCAGATTTAGAGGAGGCCCGAGGGTCGAGGCATTGCAACAGGAGTGGTCCCTCTTTTGTCTTTCCCACCCCCAATAGTACCATCCACACTGCATTGTCCAGACTGGAGTGTGGCTTGAGACAATTTCGACGTTTGCGACTTTATCATTCATCATTCGGCCAATCGCACTAAGCAGTTCCATCGTTCAAGACTAGTTTCTGATATTGCTTGACGTTTGTGGTTCCAATTTTTCATTAAAAGGATTATTTCTGATGCTTTTGCGAATATGCTTTACCAAAACAAACTCCCTAACATTACAGGGTGGAGATTTGTTCTAACAATTCATTATTTTCAGTTCCCTTCAGAAGCAGCATTTCCGGAGAAACAACTGACACAAACCCGTCTTGTCGCATGGGGTCGCGTAGTTTTCACAAATCCACATTCTGCCACCCTCCATAAACCCGAATGACAAATTCGTGCTTTCTTATGCTCATGATTCAAGGATCTTTCTACTAATGCAAGAGAAGACCTCATCCAACGGCGTAGTCTATTATGCACGCTTGAAAAATGACTCCCTCGTGGTCGGTAATGCAAAGTGGACTAATCTGAGGCATTCTTCTCAGGTGTGTTTGTAAATCTCTATCACAAAAGGATCTCATTTTCTAAATTTTGAAAAACTCACTCAATAATTTAGCCTACTTCACAGTCAATCCTGCCAATCATTAATGAGAGACCAAGGTCCCCTTGCATCCGTAATTCGTGGATCGCAGAGGCCATGACACACCTTCTTCTGCTGGTGCGGATGAGGATATATCCTGCATCACCATAAAGCCTCGTCTTCTAAGTGAACTTAAGAATGATTTCTCCAAAAAGTAGCACCACAGAAGAGGATGATTTGCAACAACTTCGTTGCCTGTGCTCGCAAAAATAATATACAAGGGCAGCGGGATAGAATTACTGGGCTGCCATGACACGACATTTCGTTTCATGAGTACCTTACAAGACTACGACCACACGGATTGGTCTGTTACCACAATAGGGGTAGGGTGGGGGGTTAAGAGTGAGTACCCTGTAATGCAGCGTTTCCCATAGCGTCCAAATCCATACACAATTTGAAAATCTCTTCCACCACATGCGAATAAACTCTTATTCGATGGCGAATGAGTCATGTCATGGACGATGGACGCCGTTTTTGCGCATTACTAGGTCCTCCACGTACACACACATTTACATTCACGGAGAAAACTATCCATCCGTACATCCAACCAACCAACCTGCTGGATTTTGTTGACAGCCGCGCTGCACTTGAGCTTCTCCGTGGCCAGATCTTCATGCGCTTTGGAGAGATCCTCTCGAAGTACGTTCAAATCATCGCGCAAAGCAACCACCTCACTAGTGGCGATTTGGGCTCGACGGTTGGCGACTTCAGAGGACTTTTCGGCCGCCTGGAAAAGGAAAAATTGTGCCTTCGTTATACTACTTATTTCCGAATAATTAGGATAATCGAGCATGATATGAAGCTCCATAATAAATATGTTTACGATTCATCAGGCTTCAATATCCCACCTAAGGAATGCAGCCACCTTCAAAGCAGCTTCAGAGTGGGTTTATGGGTAAATAAATCGCCCAAATATCATGCGAAAAGGTTGATTTATAAAAGATTAAAACTGGCGAGTCACAGCAGAGGGAGCGAGAATACACAAACTACTCGCACATTACTTTTGGTTTAAGTTATGTACCGCAACAAGTAAGCGGAAAGCCTCATGCCAAATGAGTTCAAACCATCTATAAGTGTTTAGAATTATCATGCTTCAGTTACACCCCCTACCCATTGCTACTGGGATCTTTTCAATCGACCCCAAAATTTTGACTCTATAGATGTTGTTCATGTTGCCATTTGTCGGCTCTTCTGCATCTTATGGACCCTTGAGAGGAATAATAGCCACTTTCAATCAGTTAGTATTAGAAGAAGCTCACTTAGTGTGGATAATTGAACCCTCGCAACTACTCAAATCGTAAATAAATTACTGGAAACGTCCATAAAAATTGACCACTTTTAATTCACTCGAATACTATTGTGATCACCTTTACGAAGGAGTGACCACACAGAGTTAAAAAGAGCAATATGCGGGTACTTTCGTTTACCCACACAACTTAGATTGCGTGCTAGTGCAACAACTCCATACCACCTATGCTAGTGACTTTCTCTACCTCTAAAACAAAGATAATAACACGCTAGAAAGTTCTACAATGCTTCGAGAAGTAAGCCAAACACTGCCCAGACGACAGCGCGTGACATACGCTTGACAGCTAATTTTAAGGAGATAAATCTTTAAATGGGTCATTTGCTTACCAAGGGAGATCAGCCTAAGACACTCCCAAGGCTATGGATAATGATGCAAGTTTGAAGTCAGCATACATTCGCAATGTTATCGAGCAAAAGCTAAGGAATAGGCCACATTAGAGTGACTGAAACCAACAAAGTGAAAATTTACTGTTAGATTTAGATGTCTTTTCAGTGTAATGGGGAAAAAAATCATAGTCCGAAATTCGACCTTGACCATTGGTTGACCTCAAATCGTTTAATTACTACTGCGATCACTAACGAAGAGAGGGGTAATTGCAGAAAGCAAACCAAAATCTGTTAGTCTTTGCAAAGAATACGACAGTCCAAATACTTTTGTCGAAAAAAAGGAAGGCATGTTCCGTCGACGTGGTACTTCCTCCTCTTTAAGGCCACTTCTCTATCGAAATATAACCTACCTTCAGACACTCCAGATACTGTGCAGAACGCTCCTGCTCCTCCATTAGGGCATGGCGGGTTGCTAGTTGAGCTTGCTCCTTCGACTGTTTTGCCGTTTCCAATGCTTCCACCAGACTTGCTATACGCTGATCCTGTGGAAGCAAAATTGGGTGACAAATTACCATGAGTGACCAAGGTGATAAGAGAGTGTTACTTGTCGTAATTATCGTCTAGTCATCCGACAATCAGTCTGACTAGGACACGACGCATTCGTGTATAGTTGTAGTGAATGAACCCGTGAATTTTCTCCTCTTTATTTATTGCAAAATATGAAAGAACGGAGCCCCTTCACCTCCCCATGATTAGACCTCCATATAGGCCACCAATCTCCCGACCCCCTCTCCCCATATACTGCTTTCAAATTTGCCATATTTTGTTAAGGGGAAGAAATAGAAGGAACTTTAATGCCTCCAAGGAATCGATATTTATGGAACCGAGGAATCGTAGACCTTAAGAGTGAAACCGCAGGAAGGAGAGGAGGAAGGCAATTGCTGGGGCAAGATCCAACTCATGTTATTTCCATTTAGTGCATTAGTGAGAAGTGAAAAAGCAAAAAAAGACGCCTGCATGCAAATGCCAAACTATGAATAAAAAAGTAAAGTCTACGCCCCCCACATTGCAACGACAAGCTGAGAATCCTCCAGATAGTGGCAACGAAATGGGGGAGAGAGGGGGAGGGGAAACAGAACCTAGCTTCATGAAAACAATGCTGCATATTTGGCTGATGACGTTATCCCGGAACAAGCAGCCATTGACACATGAAGTGCAATGAGACTGCTTGTAGAAGTGAAGCAAAACCGAAAGAGATCGAATTCGAGTACAGTAGGATGTAATTTCTCCAGACCTGTAAGGTGGATGCGATTGTTAATTTATTACACCATTCTAAGGCATAGATGTGCATCGGCCCATTTTCATTCTTTACCCTGTTCCTTACCCCTGCTTTACCAATCGAGCCAGCCTTGGTTGGAAGACTACAGAGTCGAGTACTTAGAGGAAGTAAAAGATGCGATAGGAGAAGGCCTTACTCAGAAAAAATTCTAGGTAATTCAGAAAGACTATTCTTTTTGGAGATGATGAATCATGGGTCAGTATTAAAAGGTGCGTCCAAAAGTGCTTGCAGTAATGATGAAACAAGCTGTTGTTTTGAGAAGAGTCATGGAAAATTGCCAGGCGAATGGATGACAACAAGCATCACGTTAATAAAACGCGCCGTTTTGGTATTGTTTGATGATTGACCTGTGATGGGTGATAGCCCTCTGTATTGCTAACATTTCATTGGTTACCAGCACGTCATCCACAAAAAACTATGCCCATTTCCTTTGTTTGTGGTGGGTCACAGGTGAGATCGCTCTCACCTGCTAAAGGCTAAACAAGTAAGGCTGACATGCGATGGTACTAGAACGTGAACAAGAAAACATCCTCAGGAAACACCCAAGACAAACGAGGCTAGTCAACCAATGAGGGGGAGATGATGCCTTATCCTTAACCCTGCATCTCTGCTGATTACCACACAACCGCATGCGAAATGGAATAGACTGTTGGCAATAAAGCTGAGATGAGAGAAACGCAGATAGCTTGGTAGTTCGCCCAGAAAAAAGTCGTAAGTAAATGGGATTTAAAGGGATATACTTAATGTTCTGCAAGTGGTTTCAATGCAATCGACTACCTTGTAATGACGGGGGGCTGGAGAGCGACCGTATGCAGTGAAAAAATGTCTTACCGAGGTCCATGCTTTCCCAACACTTTAAAGAGTCAGTGAAGAAATGAAGGACCACTCCGGAATGATTGCTCCAATAAGTGAAAAAAAGGAAACTATAAGAGCTAGGGAGCACGATCACCCAAAACAGGATAACAAAGAGACCTCTATAGGTTATAAGTCAACATAATTTCTAATGGGACAACGCAAATACGACTTACCCTCTCTGTTAATTGATCCTCCTTTTCCTCACAAGCCTTTTTGTACAGCTCTGCAAATCTTCGTTCAATCTGCAACTGCTCGTCAGCCTGTTGAGCTCGGTCCACTAACTCTTGGATTCGTTTTAGCAGTAGTTCTGTGGCTGCAGAGGTGGTGACATCAGCACCACCACCGCTCGCGGAAGTAGCATCAAAATCGGAAGTGGTAGCAACCTCGGCAGAAGAGTCGGCGGTGGTGAAAGCAGTTGGAGCAGGCGGTGAAGCAGCAGCATCGCCCTCTCCAGTACTCAACCCGCTGGTGGAAGGCATTTCCACAGGCAGGGAAGCCTGACGTCGTTGGAGCGGAGCGCCGGATGACTGACCAACACTAGCAGTCAGGCGATCCGCCATATCGGTGGCACGCTTCGCGAGCAGATCAACCGCCTTGGCTTTTTGAGCCTCGGCACTTTGCCTCGCTTTGCGCTCAGATTCAGCCATAGCCTAGATGATCAGGGAGGGTTCGAAAGTCAATCAAACGAAGTTGGATCGGCTCAATGAGTCTGGGAAGTCAATTGCTAACTGACAAACTTGGCATAATAGTAAATTTTATTACACTATGGCCAAATAATTGCCAGCAAAGGAGGAATGGGAGAAAGAAATAAAAGTAAACCGTCTATGAAGGAATTGCCTGCAGCATTACTGAAATAGAGGAATATGATGCCTTCCCAGGCAAACCGTTTGACAAGATTCAGGGGGAAAAAGTATGGTTCGCAGCGCTACGATGGATGGAAAAGCATTGCATGAACACCATTTCATCCTCATTTGCCACATTTTCCTAACTGATAATTTACTAAGTAATAACTATCACCTTTTTTGGCATCATACAACTGCGTGATCACATGCGTGGTAGATTGGAAAGGTTGGGAGAAAACGCTCAGTGATGGATACGAAAGTACCTAGGGATGGGTTTTTCTTACCTTCAAGAGATAAAAGGAGAATGCTAACCAGTAGTCAATCAGTCTTTATGCAGTTACAATAGTGACTATCTTCAGGCCTTTGTGTCTTAACTCCGGCTTCAACACGGAATGGGAGGGAAGAAGGAGGGGAAAAAAACTTTAGGCACTACGTTTTCCCCACTTAATTGAAAAGACTTTATGGCTCCAGGGTGCAGACGGCAAGACGGTTAGTCATCGACGCTATTGCGTGCGTCTGCAAGGATGAGTCCTCGAGCTATTTATTTAGACACATAAGTAAGGCAAAGCAAATAATAGCCTTATAGGCAGTAGATGAGGTCTGAGTAAAGCCTGCACTTCTCTACGCAGCACTGCGATGCATCCACATACCCTGAGGTGAGGTGAGTTTCCACAACCAAACTCCACGCCAAGGTGGACTTGAAAGAGCGCCAAAAATAAGTCAATTAAGCACTACTATGAGAAGGGAACAAACAAGAGAGGAAGGCAGAACCAGAAACCAGTGTCTGTTAGGTTGGTAAACCAGTTTTCACGAGAGTTTACCCATCTCAGACTAATGCAATTACCATGGAGAGTCGAAAGTGAGAAGATGAAATAGAAGAGATGCAAACATTTGACAGAAGGTGAGCTTTTTGAGTATCTGTAATGTCTATGCACAATAATTCTACATTCTACTTCCCTAGTCGATTGCACATTTTTGGGTGCCACAATGCAACAGTCAAAACAGCAAACTGATTATGCATGCAGATAGAGACGAGTACACACACACACACACAATCAGCTCGTCGGTGTTCCAGTTACCAGCATGTGGAAGGCGCTTCTTCCCATTACCATTAAGACAGAAGCATTACGATCACACACACACACAATTCGGAGTTTTGTTTAAACCAACGGATGAGGGAAAAATGTGGTGCGCCTACTTCTAGTGGACAAGGTGGAACAACAACTAATCACACCGGTGTGGAGATGCCGGATAACCGGACCGTGGAGAAAGGTCATGCAAAGCAGGGGATCAGTAGCGTCTTCTGCAACAGAAAAGCTTGTAGTACCCGCGATGCGATAACAACACACGGTTTTTAAATGTCAAATTTGCAGTACTGCCCTAGTACGTTGTTATTGTGAATTGCATTTCAAGAGACGATAACAAGATGAAAGACCTCTGCAACCGGTTTTTATACATTTTTAAGGCAGAAAATTGCTAACAGAAAATAAGGAAGCATAAGAAGGCAACTGTAGACATCAAGTTTCAAGACATCGGTGCCGGTGAAATCGTTATTTCTCGATAGCAAGAAGACGTATCCGCATCATGAGCTCTGGATTTGAAATTTGACCAACACACAGGTCAGGTTGATGGAAAGAGGAACTCACTTTAAGCTTTGATACCTCGGTCTCCATCTGATGCATTGCAGAGGCATGCTCCAATTTGAGTACCTCAATACGGCGCTCAGCGTCACTGAGACTTTCAACAAACCGCGCCTCTGAGCTGGCTAATTGTAGCTCCGCTTGGGCCAGTGCCTCCTCTAAAATAAAGGGAAGGTTGATTGTTGAATGACTCACTGTTTTTTTAACTATTTCCTTTTTAATGCTTCCTGGTAGCGCCAGGTCTCAGAACAATAATTTCTCCAGGTTATGCTTTTATAGTAGAGCTTTGGCGGATATTATGCTCTAAGGTACTCGAGAACCGCGCTAATGACACCATGGTAGGATTTTGTTGGCATCTTTTATTGTCTGCGAAGAATATGATCATTATAAAAAGGCGTGTATTGTGAATGATTGGCAGACATAAATTGGTAGACATCTGGCATAACTTTAATATTTACATCAATGCCATTTGGGGTTGAACAAACCGATGCGTAAATTTCACAGTCAATAAACTGCAAGAGTAATCAAAATTCAACAATTTACAGATCCTGCCGCAATGAAAGTAAAAGTCAGTCTGACTTTGCCTGAATTGAATCTGTACTTACTCCGTAAGCAGTTCTCAATAGCTAAATAGTTTGACACCTTGTTACGGTGCCTTGCCGTAACAAGTCTGTTCGGTTCATGTGGACACGCATAGGGCCTTGGACCTGCAACACTAGTGGTAAAACCTCCGATCCACTCATAAACGCTGGTCTGGGAGAGACATTTATCCCCAAATATGACAAAATTTTATTCTTTTTCGGCAAAAAAATACACGCATGAGGTTCGCGACCATCTCCAACCACTAATGGTAGCCCAACAGCCAAACAGAACCTGTCACGCAAAACAGTGCTACTCATTCCACCTTTATTTTCGAACTCAAGATTGTTCTCTTGTCAGAACCTATGGCACCGATTTTAACTTAGCCAATCCGTCTGATAAAGAATACATGTCACGTATTTGTGACGCCAGGCTCAAGTAAGGAAATCGCGGCGTCACCTCTATAGAACGTGACAACAGATATATTTATGAAGTTGCACATAGAATCTCTAACCCAATTCATGGATCCGCTGTGCCTGTAGACCCGATTCCCGTTCATTCTTTGCCCCCTTGTCCATCCTCTGCACCTCCTCGTACGAAGAGACCTCATGGAGTAGCGATTGAGGAGGTGCTAGATAGATGCCGGACAATGGGGCCAGCTTCGGCGAGGAGAACGTGAACCCAGCAAAGCTCAGCTGACTGCCATTGAAGGTGTCACAGCCACTGTCACCATTTTGTCCAGGCTCCACCTCGTCTGCCACCACTGACGTTGCCTCCTCCAATTCTTCGTGTTCGGGTTGAAGTACATCCTCCCGAAAGTAGCTGGTATCGGTCTCCGAAGCCAAATTGGGATGAAAGGGACCCGGAGAGATAGAGCGCAAAGTCTTCCAAGTCCAATCAAAGAAGGCCTCATCACCGTGTTCATTAACTCGAGCAGGAAGACATTCAGCAGCAGGCCAGGTCGGTGCAAACCATGCGTGGTTGCGCACCTCCTCCGCTCCACCTGGTCCGCTACCTAGGCGGACCTCTTCGGGTGAGAGAAGACCTATGAAAAAAAAAGGGGTTTAAAATTTTGAAGCTGCAAAAAGGAATGCGATTATGAAAGTTCTACGCACAGCAGTGAGTGACAAGTCCCCCTCACTGGTATCGTCCAGCATTCAGGCACCGTCACAAAGGCAAATGGTGGCAGCGATTGCAGGCATGAAGCAGAGTATGATGGAAGAACGTTATTGCGAGTAAAGGAGCTAAGCCCTGCGTGTACCCTACAGAATCTTCTCGGCAGTGTGAACGCTCTCAAGACAGCAATATGCTTGCCAGTAGCGATCCTGGACAAAGTCATTTTCAATTTACAGCGTGACAATCATTCCTGTGAATATGCAGCACGTAAAATTTGTAAGGAAACAAAGTGATGGGCACAAGCGCTCATAAAGACCCACATTTTGACAGGAAAAGCCGGAGTTTTCCTGTTTGTAGCATTACGTCGGACAAAAATCTAGTTCAAGTATATCCTTTTAACACGAAATCAAAACCAATGTCCAACTAGCAGAGGCACGTGTATCCCGCACCGATGACGAAGAGAAACGTCCTGTCCTTGAGATAAGACAGTTCAATTCAATTGGTGGTTACTTTAAGGAGATGAATGGTATTTGCGTTTCTTACAAGCAAATTGTCCATTTGGTGAAGCGAAGCTGAGATTTGAGGAGGTACTGCGGCCTACAATACCAATTTAGGAACAGAAACCAGGAAAGGAGCGCTTAATTTTGCTTTCTAGACACTAATTCAACTTCATATGACCTAGAAAACGCATTAACCTCGATCCAGAACGCTGAAAATGCTGCACCCGCTATTGACTTAATACAAACAGCCCCTAAAGGACTGTTGAAGCACTCTAGGAACAATAACAAAACTAGTTTTGTGTCAGGGCAGACGATTTAAAGGACCGGGCTTCTTGGTACCTTCAAAACCGGGTCAGATGGATATGGAACTGCAAACGCGGAAGGAAAAAAGCATCCAATTCAACAGAACATGGCAGCAGAACATCGCAGCAGCTCAGGACAAGAGGAGTGCTTAGCACGGTCTTTTAAAAATATACCATTAAAAAAACCACGGAAGGATGCAATTCTGGCGGATAGTCATCGCCGTAACTACTTAAACGTACATGTCCACCTCCAACTTTCAAGGCAGCTCCACACTAGTTTAAACAGTTATACACCGGTCCATGACTTTATCTTTCGAGCATTCGTAAACTTCTAGTAAGACATTAAAAAAATGAAGGAGTTTAACCTAACAACCCCCAAATGCCTTGTATAATACTACTTAATCATTTACGTCTCAAGGAATGCTGGATAGGTTCTCTTTAGGTGTAAAGTAAGACAAAGAAGAACAACGAAAAGGCGATTCATACCATAATTTAAATTACGTCTCATGGAAGATAAAAAAAAACTCATCTTTTTCCAACCGCTTCGAAATGGAGATTATTTTCCTCTCTTTTTAGAAGCAAGAAAGCAAAAAAGCACACTTGATTAAGAATGTGCACTTTAAAAGGGATCAACGAATCAAATGTGGGCAGAGATGAACCCAAAAAGGAATTTCATTAAACCAATTAGTGTGGAAGTTGGATCATATTTGGTGTAAAATCACTTGTCAAAAGTCAGTTAAAGGAAGGTTAATGATAAGAGCTATTTTGACAGTAAATACTTCGATTGTTTGGCTGATTGAGCTCTCTAAGGGGGGAGGGGAATCTATTCCTGCTCCCAAACACAAGTAAAGGCTGTAGAAAATGTCAATTTAACAAAAGGCTTCAATTACCAACATCATGGCATTTGGCGGACATTGCATCGGCTGAAACAGTTCAGTAATGGAAAAGAAGTGATGGGATTGGTCTTTCTGCTATGACCTTTGAAAAGTATCCACTTCCTAATCGCCTTCTCTAGAGACTTTATAGTCTACCTTAGAAAACGTACGCCTTTGATGTAAAGTAAGGTCATGATAAAGTGAAGAAGAAGATATATCAGGTAACCAATAAAGTTTGTGCGATATTCGGTGTAGCTCGTTTCCACCGCCTGTGCCACACTTCTAGGGTTGTCACTGCCTCGCCCGCAGAAGGCAAAGCTTGTTTAACACCTACTGGTGAAGGTCTAGCTACTTAATGGAACTGGAAGGTGTGGAAGAACGGCAATCAGAAGTAACCAATCAGTTGGGAGAAAGTCATATTTTTGAAATACAAAAAAAGAAAGACGTTCTTAATCCCCATTTCTCTTCCCCCATTCATCCATCCACATCACCAACGCCCTTCAGATGGCATTATTAGCTTGTCATATGCAATAGAGATTATTAAGAGATAAAAGTGGAGACAAAAGTGTACATAGGTGGCTAGAACCAAGTTTGGCCATTACTCCCTGGAGATGGAACATTTCATGAGGGAGGAATTTGCAAGTATTTGTCTTGTTGAGGAAATATTACACGAGAGCCTAAACCACCCAATTGTCAACACATTTACGGACAAACGGTGATGCTGTCATTAAAGAATTTTGTTTATTTTGATGATAGGAGTCGTTTTTTAAAAAAAAATCAACAGCGATTGTACTACAAAATTCATGTGAAATCAACTAAACACGATTGTGGGAGCACAAAAGTGTTTAAAAAAGTGCCTTTTGCAAATACAAAACAAAAAAACAACAAAAACAGTTTGACTTAAGAACACGCAACAAGACATTTACTACTTCACCAGAATGTCACACAACATCGACCAGTCGCTAGGCGCTGGTGGCAATCTACCACCTAGCAGCGATGATCGGACAAAGAGGTAGTATTGCCATCTAAAAGGCCTACATCCTCTCCATCACCTTTTACTTAAAATATGTAGGGATATTAACATTTTTTTAGGGCACAGATGACCTCTTGGTATTCAAAGGTGTAACATCGCCACAAAAACACACATTTGATTTTGAAGAGTAAAACAAGGTATGCAAACCAAATTACTAACAATTCATGAGATGTGTAATAGCAGCAATAGCTCTTCAGTAGGTAGGTACGTACGCTTAATAAAATCCAGACAGGACGGAGTGATGGCAATCTCCTTGGGTAAATGGAGGCTGGTTGTGTGACTCATAATTTTAGAGTAGGTTGTTACCAGATCGTCGGAGTAGAATGGCGTCTCACCGCAAATCATCTCGTAGACGAGGATACCCAGGGCCCACCAATCCACTGCGAAACCGTACTCACCGCCTCCTGAACTCTATAGAACGGGAAAAGGAATGCCTTGATATTAAGTAGTAACTAAACGACACCCAAGTTGGCTTGTACGGTTTACAATTCTGACGATAAATTGTAGTGATTTAATATATGGTTTAACCGTGTGCAAGAACTTCAGTCTTTGCAGATTGTGCTTCCACTCTGCGGCATAGCCTTCACTTTATCACCACTTCATAGCACTATAAAATCACTTAAAGAAAGGCGTACCGCGTTTGGGAGGCATACACCACCATTGACACTTTAATTAGATATTAACATGTGAAAAAATCCCTTCACTAACACTTAACGCAGGTGATGAAGCAATTTTTATATCAATTGGTAGGAGAGGGAGGTGGAACCTACTAAGCATGTAGATAACCTTTCCACCATCTACCCAAATTTTGATAAAAAGGATCTTTGCACCACCTGAGAGTAGAGTACTTCAGGGCTAATGTAATCCGGAGTTCCTACGGCACTTTCACAGCGAACTCGATGTGTATGAGGATCGACCCGAACACAGGTGCCAAAGTCGGCCAGCTTGAGGTGGCCACTCATGTCAAGTAGCATGTTGTCCGGTTTGATGTCGCGATGGATGAAACCCATGGCGTGCAGATCGCTTAGCGCCTGGGTTATCTCCGCGGCGTAAAAGCGGCAGACCGTCTCGGAGATTAGCTCTGCTTCGTCCATCCAACAGACCAAGGTTCCACCGGGCACGTACTCCATCACCATATAGAGGGAGCGTACGTCCTAAAATGGATGTTTTACGAGACATTTGAAACACATAATGACTATGATAATAGGCACCAAGAAGGCACAAACCGACTCGTAGATGTTTTGGAGCAAGCATGTGTCTTGATAGGAAGACTTGCATTTTTTTCGCCTCCACATTTACGGAAAAAGCTGCTATTGTAAGGAGATCGAAAGTCATACAGATGCATACTCCAAGACTAAGATGACAAGTAGTAGGCACAAATGCTTTGGCAATTTTAAAGTGGTGTAATGATTTGATGAGAATAAGTAGTGAGAAGACCCGTTTGACATTTAACAGCTTTTTCCTTGCGAGTTGGAATACAAGATTTTATTTTAAGAATGTATAAGAAGTGAAAATCCTTTAGACGTAGTTAAGGACTACGAGAGGATGAGATCTACCTGGATGCTTTCGTCATTTTTGCTTTCAAAATGCCAAAACTGTTGTGACAAAATTAACAAGCAGAGAGAGGAAGTTTTCCTTATTTTCGCGGATGTATGTTTTGAGATCGAAAGTGTATAAAAGGTTGCCGTAACAAAAAAGCGCGTATATAAGAAGCAATAGCCTAATAAATTCTAGCACAGAGCGGACCTAACTGGATCACAGAAAAATAAGTCTTTAGTAGTCTAAACACGTGTGACCAAAGATAAAACTAGCAACGAATTAAAAAGAAGCGACAGGTGTAAATACGGATTTCTTGTATTCTGTTAAAGCAATAGACACTTGATGCAAAAGCAATCCCATACACATGGAGCAAAAACCCTGTAGATGAGGTAATAAACACAGATAAAAAACACCTTAATCCATAGAAATGTAAAAATTTGGGCTAGGACTGCAATCTTTTCCTTAAAAGTATGCAACGTACAAAAGGCGGATGTGTTAGGGTTGTATGTCTAAGGGCTATGACGTAGAGAAGATGTAAATAACTCAAGAGAAAGTTAAAGCTATTAACTCTTAGGATTGGGCAAAAAGTCAACTGTTATAAAGACGGTGAGAATGAAGAGAAAGATAATGCGTTACAGCTAGTTGCTCTATGAATGATGACAAATTTGTGATCGACCAGACACGATGCCGTGAGGTTACATTACTTGCATACTCGTAAAGTACCATTGTCATCGCTTTCAGAAACATGGCAAGGGTTATAACTGTAAAGGCGAAAAGGAGCCACAGTTGACTCATAGAAATTAAAAATTTGAATTCCATAATCAAACAATAAACTGTTAATGCAAGCGTATGCATCAATATGTGGCAGATGTGTTTTAGTATCGTGACAGTAGGCATCGAGAAAATTCCATAGTTTCAGAAACCCAAACAGACAGCTCTTGATACAGCAAAGACATGGCTTTGAAATGATTAAGTACCGCATCCCGAGCTCTAATTCAATTGCGAGGTACGATTTACCACCCACTGAATTTGAGAATAAAAGTACTTTTGTGCTAATAATTTGTGTGGTTGCCTAAAACGAGAGTGCATATTATAGGTCCCAGAAGGGCTTGTCAGTAACATACGAAAACATTAAAGAAGAGTTATTTTGGCGCCATACACAGTCATTAGATATTTCGAACTATCAAAATAATGCAGTAACAAATGCATTAACAAATGGTAGTTCAAGCTTTAAGGTTATGACTTTGACGATAAACCTAAAACGGCAATATAAAAAATACACTAAGTCGAAACAAGACATAAACTGTCCGTGAAAGCAGCACGGAAAAACCACAAGCTACCCCCCATTGCATGGTGAAAAAAACCATTGAAACGAAAAATTACTTGGAAGGAGTAGAAGAGGCGGACGATCCAGGGAGACACACTTTGTGCCATTATTTCCCGTTCGGCCCAAAAGTCAGCTTGCTGACTCAGCATCTTGGATTTGTCAAGCGTTTTCATTGCGCAAACTCGACCAGTTGCATTTTCCCGAACAAGATCAACACGACCATATGCACCGCGACCAAGTGTAGCGAGAAAGGTGAAGTCATGTCGTTGTCGACGCAGCCCTAGCAACTGCCTTACTGATTCAGCGAACCTGAACCGAAATAGAGAACCAAGATCTTATAAATGCCTAAAATGTTCAAGTGGCTGAAAGAAACAAATTAACAGTAAACCAGGTAGCCGACAATTACAAGGAAATAAGCAAGGGAAGCGTAATTAACTGAACGAGTTTTCTAGTTGTGCCCAAAGGGCAAATAAAATCCCCAAAGCAAGCAAAGCATAAGAAATCGGTGAAAGGAATACACCAAAATTAGGGAACATGCCTCTCGGAAAATGCCAGTATTTGAGTGTCCTGCTTATCTCTGGGGGCCCGTTGGCTGTCTAATGCAACGGAAATGAAAACATCCAAAATCCTTTCTATATTTAAGTCTGAAAAGGGATCAGCAAGAGTATTCTCCAAGGATATTAGACGTTCCTTTATATCAACCAGACTGTTTCTTGAGGGTTGCATATCTGTACAGTTTAACGAAGTACATACATATTCGTATTCCCGCTAGAAACCATCCGACTTTCGATTGGTTTGAATATAAAGTCAAAAGTGCGCCTTTCTTCCTGTCCTTCCAGTTGGTGGTGGAGAATAACAAACAGCGAAAATAATCTAAATAAATAAACAATCTTTCTCGGCAAAATACTTATGTTAATTTAAAATAAAACTGTTTGCCCGCGTCAATTTTGGCCTAACTGCACAAAATAGCACATTCTGAGGTGGCTTCTCTGGACTTGGGTTTATAAGAATATATCATAGAATAAGTTGATTTATGGACATTACCAAAAATAAAAAACTTTTTAACTTTGCAAAATTCTTTTTAGGCAGCAAAAACTCTTAATATTAGGTTACTGGCATGGTCTGCAGTTTATGGCGCTGAGTAGAAGTATAAACGACGGTGACTCAAGTAGCCGCATAAAGTAATACAGTGTTAGAGTACTATCAACCACTACATCATGGCTAGCTAGCTAAATCTTGTAATACAGTAAATACTTAACTCCCGGCCCTAGTGACTGGGACAATTGGGTGCCTGTAATTACGCTTTTGCTGGATATGTTGGCCTCTGATTCATACAGGTAGCTTCGATTCCAACTTGATGTCTGATATATATTATGTAGCGTTTTGAGACTTTCTGAAGACAAAAGAAGACAAAACACTTAAGCAGAATATATATTCAGTGCAGAGAAGGTGTCTGGTCTATTGGCATGGCCCAAAAGGCCAGCCCACCCAGCGAGGTACAAGGGGGCTAATTCAAAGTACAAAAGTGGCGCCCCACCAGCACCGAGGGATAAGCCACTATCGTATTACAATTAGCTAGGGAGTTATCTCTTTTTCCTCTTCAAAGAAGTCCCGATCCGCTGCGCTGGTGGCAGTGGAAATTAAGACCGATCTTAAAGGCTGTCTACCGGATTTATATTGCTGAGTGAAAAACGTTACTTGGGCAGAAGAAATGCATACCTTTTGTGTGAGGGAATCAGTTGCGACCCATAGCAGAAGGACTGAAATTGACATCTGCCTTCTTCTACTACTTAAATTCCTCGATCTGCGGGAATGCTAGTAACGAAGTTCCACTACGGAGCTGCTAGCTGTACCATTTTAGAGACATCATCTAAACAAACTGGCAATAACTCCTTTACTTCCCTGATTAATATGTCTATGTATTTCTAAAGTGAAAACAAAGTAGAAAGGAGAACAGACACAAAACCTAACCCTCACCATTTTGTTAAATCGCGACCTTTGCTATTTGAACCTGTCTTAAGATCAGTGTTGCTAGGACTAGAGGTAGACATGCGCAAATTTAGGTTTATTGCAGACAAAACTTTTGATCCAGTAGAATCACCAAAAGGGATCAGTAATGTTGCTGTCAGGTATACCATAGTTGCATGGAAATTCGACGGCTAGCCAGGTTGACTCGTGGGTGTTTTCCATAGGGTACAAACTGCGTTGTTACGACTGATACAGACAGTTGATCAAGGTAAGTATTGGAGATGATGCTTAAAAGAGTAGAGCTGCTGTGCAATACTTTTTATGGTTATTTTACTCTCGGTTTTGTTATGGGGGCCAATGTGGGTCTCGACAGTTGTGTCTTCGGCCGGTTAATTGACCTGTGGGGCATGATAGTAAGCACATACCCCCTGTATGCCAAATTAATCTAATCTGTTTGAGTATTAGGCCTTATCGTATAATAAAAAGGTTGTATTTCCCCTGATTTTGGTGAGGAGCCACTTTGGACTTGGCCATTGTACCACGCCGGGTGGGTTGCCTCCGGGCCATGCCACTAGCCCTAATACAATTTCTAGGACAAAAATATATATATTCTGCTTAAGTACAGTGTCTCATTTCGTCTCCAGGGCAGTCTCGGGACGCTACAGTTGCATCGTCAGAGGGGTCCTAGGTCGCTGCAGAGTGAAATGCAACTTCTTTAACACCTAATTTGTATCGATGTTAAAAATGCAGCCTAATATTAAGTGCCCCGAGTTGATATCATTTAACACAAAAAGCTAAAGCTATTTCAGGTTTTAGGCTCTGCTTTTGTTTTCTAAGGTTATTTTAGTTTAAATGATTCATCGTGATAATTCACTGAACACGCACACAAGTTATAAACCACAAATCATGATGCTTAGAAACTAGTTAACTGCAAGCTTATTTAGATGTGAACAATTGTAATAAAGGATCTTTGAATTACAACTTATCATTGATTCGACGCATGTCTGGTTGACAAAACACTAGAGTAGCAATACGACATTCAGCGCGCATTATTCCGATTCTCTTCTAAACCTGAAATAAGCTAAATTATCAGGCATTTAAGTGTGACACTTGTAGCGTCTCGGGACTCCCTGAAGACGAAAGAAGACACAATACTCGGGCAGAATACATATTCATCGCAGAGAAGGTGTCTGGCTATTGGCATGGCCCAAAAGGCCAGCCCACCCAGCGAGGCACAAGGGGGCTAATTCGAAGTACAAAAGAGGCGCCTCACCAGAACCGAGGGATAAACCACTATCGTATTACACACTAATGTACAAAAAATTTAGATTTTTATGCGTGTGGTCAAAAACAATGTTGCAGAATGAAAATACAAACCCTCCAGATGGCAGTATCAGCTTTGCTAAACACAAGAAAGCAGGGTACATATGAGCTTAGGGATTAGAAGTCACAGTCAATTCGTGGAAGGAATGCTGGTTTTGATTCAGCAATCAACGTTATCATGCCTACAATCCTCTTCTTTCTGGAAGTACCAATGTCTTAACAAATGAGCGCATGAAGTCAGGGAGTTTTACTTGGGAAAAGATAAGCAAAATTGCAAGCAATACGTGATTGTTACATAAAGCGGTTTGTTTTTGTTTTGGTTGCATAATGCATCCATTTACCTAATTAGGCCAACAAAAAATGATAAAATGTCTCACCAAATGGTAAGCAGAAGGGCTGAACATCATGTTTAGCAACATGTAAAGCAGTAATTGCTATCTGACGTATGGAAGACTAAAGTGTTGTGCATAACTGCAAAAGGAACTGTCATCGTTATTATTCATACGTTTTAGTTATCATATAAATTGCTGCGCGTTATAAAACCGCTACGTTGTGGCTGAGTTCCTACAAAGTACGCTATCAAATTGCTGGACTGACATTGCTTACTTGAGGTAGCTGTATTTATAGTCGAATTAAGCTTTGTCTTTTTCTTAGTTATGCGTCAATAGAGCCCTCTTGTTACATATTTTGGGATACTACCCTTGCTTAACATTTTATCGTTTTTCTTTTTCTTGGCATGATATTCTTTGGGTCGTCAACCCCCTATTTTACTATTTCACTAGCACCTAAAATTATATCTGTGGTGCAGTGTTCCCTGTGAAGTAACGAATCTGATCTCCTTGAAGTACTCATTGTTCTGTAAAAAAATACCGGGCTTATTACGATTAAGAACAAACCGTTTTATTACACTCCTGAGTGTTACTTTTTTAGAGAAATGAAGAGACTGGATGAGTCAGAACTATCAAAGCCACCATCTAAGGTCTTAGAAGTTATCTGCAAACTTGGAAAGGGTTCTTATGGCAGTGTCTTCAAGGCCAAGCACAAAGCTTCGGGAACCGTTGTTGCTGTGAAAAAGGTAAACCAACACCTCACTTCAGCTTTGGGCGGGTTCTGTATCGCAAGCTTTAAGTGCTTCTTTAACTGTAGGGTAAATCCCTCCATATTTGACCAGATTTTCATGGCGCAATGGGAAATAGCCAACTTTTACAACCCATGAAGTAGAAGGCAATGTCTTCTCAACTGTGCGATGCATAAGGCAATGCTTACTTTTCGTAATAACTTCATTTGAACAAAGCAACTTCTTGAATTACGACCATATCCTAAAATTCCCCATTTTTTTCTTTCAGACTCCCATGAGGTTTGTTGGTGAATGTGGCTTCATTCTAAATTGGTTCACTTTGAGGCATTTAAGCTTGGCGCTTGTTTTCTAGACTCCGTCATTTTTAAAAAAAACTAACTCGCAGATTCCAATTTTGACATGGAGTGTGAGATGTATGAGCTTAATTATTTTGAAATTTTTCCAAACAGGGTTTAAGGTGGAGTTTTGCCATTAAAAAGCTTATTTTTGTGACATTTAATTCCCACTAAGGGGTGCGAAATTGACTTTTAAGTGCTAAATCTTTAGTAGGGTACTTGTGGGGTTCCAGTTATGCCATTTTCGATGCCTCGCGGTTAACCATGATGCTAGTTTGTTGTTCACTTTTTAAAACTTTTTTTATTTAAAATTAGTTTAAAGGGTGGATGGAGTGGGTGTTGGTTTAGGTAAATCCAATCAGGTATCTCCAAACCACACAAATCCTGTAATTCTTTCTAGGTTCCCGTAGATAGTGATCTCTCTGAAATTGTAAAGGAAATATCTATCATGCAACAATGTGACAGTCCCTACATCGTCAAATGCTTCGGCAGCCTCTTCGATAATCAGGATCTCTGGATTTGCATGGAGTACTGCGGTGCTGGTTCTGTTGCCGACATTATGCGTCTGCGCAATCAAACCCTCACAGAGGAGGAAATCGGAACCATTCTAAAATACAGTCTCCTTGGACTGGATTACCTTCATCAGGTGCGCTCGTTTTTCTTCCTAAAGCAAAAGTCTTATTCATTCCCCTCTTAAATTGGCTAATAGGGATTTTAGTTTTTCACCGCTTCGTCTGCTTAGTTCAATTAGTCTAGTGCGTCAGTGACATATATAAGCACAACGATTTATTTGCATATGCAGTCCGAAACGGTGGGGAGGGAAATTCTTTCCCGACACTGGAACAAATGCTGCTTTGCCTTGCAGTAGGTGCCTTCTTCAATGGATCGGAAAAGTGACACTCAACCGGCTCATATGAATCTCCATATACTATTTATTTTGATCTTTGGTCATCTATGCTATGCAGCAGAGTTTCCGTGGCACAGTTTGCTCATAAATGCGACCTCCCAAATTTTCCATGGCTTAAAATCTTGACTGTCACAATCCGATCAGTAGACAATAGCCATATATGACAAGAATAAAGGAATTTTCGCATTAAAAAGTCAAAAACTTACAAATTATCTATCAAAGTAGAATTCTGTACTACATAAGTTCTTTTTTTTCATTTTTGTTGCTTAGGCCGATTCGTACTATGAAGGAGCTATGACGTCTAGTTGAATTTGTGTGTATGCCTTCTTATGTAGATGCGTAAAATCCACCGAGACATAAAGGCGGGCAATATATTGCTCACCAGTTCGGGAATGGCCAAGTTGGCGGATTTCGGAGTGGCCGGACAACTGGTGGACACTTTGGCCAAGCGCAATACAGTCATTGGAACTCCCTTTTGGATGGCTCCTGAGGTGATTTCATGCATTCCTGTGCCTCCTGTGGTGTAATTCATGTTGTCAAACACTTAGTAATGGGCAGGTGGAAAGGTGTCACTGATACACTCCAAGGCGCGACATGGAATCGTGTATTTGGTTGAAGTGGCTTTTCCTATGCATCTGTCTCCGTCGCCTTCACAGTAGATTCTTCCCTCCTGTGTCGTATTTAACCGGTAAAATGAGCATTTCTGCTGGTTTGAAATGATTTATCTACAGCTACTCAACCGTATGTCGCACCTTAGTCAGGAAAGATCCGCAGAAGGTCTAATTTTTTTAGGATACATCATCCTCCGGAACTTGTTTGTGGTTTGGTCGTGAAGGCAAAGCTTTACCAGAAAAGCCGGATTTTTTGCGCACATGATGACTACCTAGCCATTCTCTACGTAGGTCATCCAAGAGGTGGGCTACAACTGTTCTGCAGACATCTGGTCACTGGGCATAACAGCAATAGAGATGGGAGATGGAAAACCACCTCTAGGAGACGAACATCCTATGCGAGCGCTCTTTATGATCCCCAGTCAGCCCTCGCCACGGCTGCGAGACGAGAAGGCTTGGTCTGTGGATTTCGTGGCCTTCGTCAACTCCTGTCTGGCTCGTGCGCCTGAAGCGCGGCCCTCGGCTGCTGCTCTCTTGCAAACAAGCTTTATTCGTGGTGCAAAATCCTGCTCCATTCTTCTGTGCGTTCATTCTCTTTCAACGAAATGCAGATGGGCTAAACACTAGTTTTTTGATTGCCTGGCTTCGCTTCTTTAATCATCCTGCATTGATTAGTAATTGAGTAGCACAAACTCTCCAGATACGCTGCATGTATGTATATGCAGTAATTCAGACGTAGATTTGCTTATTTGGCCTCCTATAACTTCTCGTATATCCAATCACTGCTATTTTTTGTAATCAAGTTCTTTGTGTCCCACCAGACCGCTAATTGAGGAGTCCAACCGTCTGCGTGAAAAGCGTCTCAACGACTCAAAAGCAGCAGCAGCGTCAACTACGTCCCCCCAAACGCCGTTTGCAAAAGCCTCCGCCAAGGCCAGAGCGAGGCCGCAAGAAGTGATTGACATTGTCGAGGAGGAGACGAGCAACTCGGGCACTATGATTCAGCGCTCTGGCTCCTCCAGCATGATTGTTAAGGGCGAAGGGGTAGGGTGCGTCCTATTGCCTTCATTACCTTCGCCATACTCAGTTGTTGAAGTGTCTTTATGGCAACCGGATTGTTTATGCACATGGGAGGTTTTACATCCCCCTATTTCCACTGATTGAATGGGTAGGGCGACAGGCGATGCGAGTGGAACCCTCATCTTCCTTAATCGAAGCGATAGAGGTGGAACTTTGGGTCAAGATGGCGCAACCACGATGGTTATTAACGAGGATTTCGGTGCGGAAGACGACACCGAGTGCTCGGTGGTTATCCACGCAGGTGATTCGATGGTGGAGAAGGACCCTGGGGCCGAAAACGCGGGTACGCTGACTCAAAATTTCGCCCGCCAATTGGCTATTGGCAATAGGTGCAAAGAGAGGTGAGCTGCATTTCCACACTTTCCTGTGTTTGTGTTCCTTGAGATTGGAGGACTGATGTCGAATTTCATTGACATGCATGTAATCGAGCATAATGTGCTGCGGTAATGCTGAAGTTAGCATCAGGTCGTGGAGCAATTAGCAGCGTGGAACAGTCATGAACGACCTTAAGAAGGCAGTCTGTTCGTTTATATTTATCGCCTCTCCACCTAGCGAAAATGTGGCTGCTGCGGTGGCTGCAGCACAACGAGCCTGTGGCGCGATTCCATCACCCACTTCTCCCCCTTCCGCTTCTGAATCTGACTCCTGCTCCTCCTCGCCTTCCCACCATCATCACCATCACCATCTCCTGCTCCCACACACCAGCGGTCAACGTCCTTTTGCCCCGTTCTCTCGCGCTTTTCATGAGAGTGGTGCTCTTCTACAACAACAGCAACAACAGGGCATGTCGCTCTTCGATGGAGGGGGTGGAGTGCCTGCGCCAGGTCACACAAACGCTCTTGCATTGGCTAATGAGCCTGGTGGGCTTTCAAAACTGTCCTACTCAGAGTTGGAGCAGCTGTTGGTAAATTTGGGGCGGGATTTGGAAACTGAGCTGCGGAACCTGGCCATTCGCTATCGTCATAAGAGGCAACCGCTGTTGGACGCGATCGCGGAGAAGACAGCTGCGCTGGCGCCATAATTTCGTTGACCCCAACTCGCTACTATTAAATTATTCCGTCTCTCAATCTCTCATCATGTCCTTCTGAGTCAATCTTATGCTTCTGCCAAATAATTACGAGTGGCATTTGTTTTGTACACTTCCGTTGTGCCCTTGTGGTTGAGGTCGCTCGCGTAGGGGTAGTGTGATTTTGCGTTTGCGTTTGACACTGTCGCAGTGGGAGAAAGGCAGGTCAGCTGGGATTACACAATGACTTCAGCTGAGGCTAGGGCAATTACGTCAGTACGACGGATGTGGTAAAAGGCAGCAAAAACCAAGCTACGATTGTGGGTTTAAGCGTACTTCTGGTGCACATTTGAAAGGGCGTATTGTGTGGCGCTTAATTTTGCTTGGATGTGTAAAAGCGGGTAGAATCGAAGTAAGGGGAATGACGCTTGCACCATACACAGACGCATGGTCGTGGGAGATCATGACGTTGCAGACACTAATCACGTCGCGGACTATTTGGAATGATACACTTTCAGCGCTGAAAAGGATGTAAAAATGTATCAGTGAGAAATTAAAACGAATGTATACGTTAATTTGCTTACTGCTTAGGCAAATCTGCGAAATGGCACCAAATTTCTATCATTCCTGCGTCGAAAAGTTTTCAAAAACATGTGCATAAATTAGGCGCTAATTTTATCGATAGAGTAGTTCACTTGGTAGCAAATCAGGCGAGCAATTTTAAAATATTCATGATGTTACTAAGCATTTATCTTAGTTTATTACCCAATCTTGCAGTTGTTTTAATTCATCGGTGTGACCGAATTGACGCCGCACACACCGGGCCGCAGCAGCCATGGTCGCGGGTTTGCTTAGCCTTGTGGGTGGTGATGCGTCCTATGCTTTTGAGGCCCCATCTTCTCGATACATTGTTTTCAATCCCGTTGAGCTTCTGTTCAATAGCTTGAAGAAATGTGGAGCACTCGGTAACGTCGGTGCATGTGGTGTGGACCCAATACGCGCAAGGGTCCTCTTTGAAGGCATCCTAAGTGATGTTCTCAGATACGGTCTTAAACCTCTTCCCATTCTCCCTGGAATACCAAGTACGGCTGTAAGTTCTGCCTCTTTTGCATTAGGATTTAGGGCTTGGGTCTCAAATCTGTTGCAAGTCGTTGTTTTAAAATGAAAAAGCATTACAGAAAAGTTGATTTCGATGTTGTGGCCGCGAAGTACCGTCAGTTTGGAGATTTTTTCCCTTGCTCGCGTCAATTCGTAACAAAATGTCTTCGAGACATGGATTTGCACTGTGTGCAATCGAGATATGATTCTATACCCGTATGCCTGGGAATTGCTTATTGTCTTGACTGTCCAGTTGCGAGCATGTCATCGCAATACTACGTCATGTCACGCCCTACCATTCTACCTGAGGAGCTTCGACCACTTGCTATAAACGAGTTGAAGATTGTCGATCTTAATACAGATTTCTACTGTGTGGATGACGAGGGAGGTAAGGCTGTCCTCAAACTGAAAGTGTTTCATCCTGAAATGTCTGCACTGCGGAGAGTGCCAGCAACGTCACGACCTCTTCTTGCGCTTCTAATGAATTCGACTCTGCTTCCCAAACTTCCAGCTGCGGTCCAAGTCGAGACGGTGGAATCAGAGTCGTATACTTCTGCAAAACTACGAGCGGTGATTAAGTGGGTCGAGGAAACCAATCCAATTCACGTTCTTCGGGCGATAATGGAGTCAGTCACTGACCCTAAGTGCATGGACTATATTTCAGGCAACATATTGGTGTACCTCAAAGAATTTTGTCCTGACTTTGCGGAGGCCTCTAACGTCCTTAAGGTATTTGATTTGGGACGGCACGTTCCGGCAGTGAAAGCACCGATGCAGAGTGTTAAGGAAGAGGAGGAGGAACAAAGGCAAAGGTCTTCTTCACCCATGTTTTTCTTCCAAACGGCAGCTAAAATGTTGAAGGGCTCTGCGTCACCGGATCGTCCCGTTGACTTTCTTTATCGTTGGCCTGCTGCGATAGCTCATTTATACCGTTCTAATATGTTGGAAAAAGTATTTATTGTCGCACTTTACTGTAAATTTGGTGTTGTTTTAAGTTATACTAGCGAGTACCTCGTTGAATTGCCCTGTGTTTATGGGCCGAGCAGAATCCTACGCTATGCGCACTACTGCCTGATAAGAGGAGTGGAAGAAGCAAATGGCCTTGCCTCCAAACTGGTGGGACTACGCCCCCATGCGAAGGAAATATGTTACGAGGGTAACTTTTGTTACAAGACCTACATGATGAAGGTGAGGTCCATGCACTTGCCGCGTAACTGCTCGGTGGACGACTTCATCCACGCCTTCATTGGGCTAGATTGCAGACTAGACGTGCCCGAGTGGAGCGTCGCCTTGGTGCTCTCCTGTGTTTTGTGGCATCAGCAAAAGGTGGAGCATCGGAACTGTGATGTTGCTGAGTGTGCGTTGGTATTGTCGGTGCTAGTGTTGGCAGTGGCAACGCATTTTAATATGGAGTGTGGTGTGTCGGCTGTGGCGGACCACTACGATGCCTTGAAATCGTTGGTTGTGACGAAAATGGAGGAGAGTGGTGCATGTGCGAGTCCGGCGGTGGAGAAGGAGTTGATTCACAGCGTGTTGGAGTTGATGGTGGTGTATGACCACTATGTGTCCCTGTGTCGACTTCTTACTGCACTGCAGGAGGACAGTGGGATACCCGACTTCTCATCTGCCGCTTACAATCGTTATCCACCAAACTATGCGGTGTTTCCTTCGCTAGCCTTAGTGGTGCACATGGCTGCTCATCTGAGGTGTGAGGATACGCCGTCTGCTGTGGCCACGCGACTGTGGGTGGTGAATGCATTCCTGCGTGCCACCAACGATGCTAACGATGTGGCGAGATTGAAGAACGCTGTGACCGTGTTTTCCACTCTGGTAAAATTTATGTCACAGGTGAAGTTGAATTTGACCGCACCAAAGGTGGTTGTGGCTGATCCACCGTCTTACTTTTTGCCCACGAAGGAACGGTTGCTGCTAAAGCGTTTTTCTCACCCACGAGGTAATGCATTCCCGTTCAGGCCAAGTGGCAATAACAAGGGTAGACTACCGCAAACGCGCAACGCTTTGACAATGAATGGAGGAAGCTACGCCAGCCGATTGACTGAACGGATCGAGAGGATGAGATTGAATTCATAGTTTTTATCTCCTTTTGTACTTCCCCAGATTTCTATACTTAACTATTTGAGTGATTGACAAGATATCACGGAAGTATTTGTTCAGTGCCTTGCTTATCCCTTGACTTGTTACAGTTGGGCAGGGAGATGCGTCACTAGGTTATTTGGGAGCGGTGTCCGTGCTGGGGATTGTTCGTGAAAATTGATTTTCGGATAGGAGGTATGAGGTTCCCTTCCCTTCAATCCGACCCTCTCGGGCGAAGTTACACTAAAGATGCTTAAATGCGGGCTCGGGTCACCTGGTTTACAGATTTTTGCTGAGTGGGATTAGGTTTAGTGATGTAATCGCAAGACAGTCCAGTCTTCACCTCCAGAACAGCGTTGCAGTTGTGGTGAGAAGTTTTCGTTACCTACTCGGGCGCATCTAACGGTGGAGAATTTGACTGTGTGCGATCACTCTTTGACAAGGTGCGATTCCGTTCGACCGTCCGCCAATTTCTCAGTTTTCCAATGCGTGCGGAAAAGCAGCTGCACCCTCGATCAGCACTGAGTAAGGCAGTGGGAATTCATGCAGACAAAGCCTCGTGTACGCAGAAACCGTTCGACTCCCTTAATTACCGTTCTACATTCACTATGGTGGCAGTAATGGAGGCAAGACTCCGTACTCCACCCGCTCATTCTCAGCAGCCGTGCTAGGGGTTAAATAGAAGTTAGTGAAGAAGTCCTTTCACAGTGACCGTTAGATGAGGAAGGATGGAGAGGAGCCTCCAAGGCAAAGACAATAAGTGGCAAGTCGCACTTCTCGCAGGGGAATTCCGACAAGATGGAGAATGAGTTGACGCAAATTCCGGATGTACAATTCTTCCGCCCCTTATGATCGGGAAGATAAAATTGCACTCCACGAAGTCAAGAGAAAATGCTCCTAGGCGCAGCAACATGTTGCAAGAAAGATAGCCCATGTACTTGGGATTTGTGTTCGAGTACATTGTGGCCTGAGGAATGTGAGTGAAACTGGTTTCTGTAACCCAGTTGACTAATGCGTGTAGTTTTGCTGAGGCACACGACTAAATCCGACGGTTAGACTCTGATTGCAGCTGAAACTGTAGGAAGCAAATTCGAGATTATTCCCGTTGCAAAAAGAGGTCGCGCTGTTGCAGGCACGCTGCGCAGTACTAACAACTCAGGATGGTACACTTTCAGATAAAGGACGGCCTCAATTACAAATTGCATTGAAGAAAAAGACATGATTCATACATAAAGGCGGGCTTTTGTGCTAACGTTCTTGCTAGTAGAAAAGACAGAAAAATGAGTGACGTGAGTAAACTCTGGTCTTCTTCAATTCAGGCGATGAAGGTAGTACCTTGGATCCAGATGAGAGGACTACCATGTTGGTTTGCGAGGGTGTCAGGAAGGAGAAAGACGCAATGTGCTTGGAGGTCGTTTACAATGATGACGATGAGGAAAGGGTAGAGGGCGGTGATTCAGTGGTGAAGAGGGCAACTGGCACCGACAGTGCGAAAACTCTAATTTGCATATAACACAATTAGCAGAACTTTACCTTTACCTATTATTATTGTAAGACGCTACGCTAACCGGTATAATGCCTAAGCCGAATCATAAATTTAAACCCAATACTTCGCAGCATACTTATGCATCTAAAAAAGTCAGTGAAAAAACGAGAAAATAGGCAACTGATCTTCTTGCCTAGGTTTCGATTGGCATTAAAAAGAAAAAATAATTATTGCGAGTCATTGATACCAAGCCTGACATCATGGAAAGTGCTGACTATGGCTCAGTAACCAAAAGAAAATTAAATCATACCAAAGTTTTGCTTAAAAAATTTACGTGTGATAAAGTCGAAGCCTTCACAATAATAATATGAAAATAGATTTACAATTAGTTATCAGCTTAGTGCGCTGCCGAAAAATATATATTATCATCTTCAAAAAATTGGCAAAAATTAAAGACTGTCGGTCAAATGGCATTCAATTCAACGTCGGTTTGGTTGCATTGGTACAGTTTAAAGGTCGCCAGGTAAGACAGTCGATTTTTGTGATAGACGCAGGCGTGCTCAATCTTGCCGGTGTTGATGCGCCGCAAGTTTTGGAACCCCAAGCTTCCCGATACGTATTTTCGGCAATGTTGGTCTGTTATATAATCGTTCGAGGTATAACAAAGCATTTGATGGCGCCGGCGCATATACTGTGGATCTGCTACGCGCTAGAGTCCTATTTAAAGGTGTCCTAAACGATATCCTCAGATGTGGTGCGAAGCCCATTTTGCCGTTGTTGGAAAACTACGTAACAAAGTAACTTATTTCTTTCCAATTGGTCTTTGCCTTTAGTCTTTAAATCTATTGCAAGTCGTTGCCTTCGAAAGAGAAAGCAATGCAAAAAGCTAATCTCGATATTGCAGCTGTGTGGCACCGTTTAGGGGCATTATTCTTTCCTTGTTCGCATCAATCAATAAAAATTGCCTTCGGGAAGTTGACGTTCATCGCCCGCAATCGAGGTGTGGTTATATGTCAGCGAATCTGGGGATGGCTTACGGTCTTGACCGTTCAATAGCAAAAATGTCTACGCAATATTGTCTACTAACGCACCCGTCCAATCTATATTCGGCATAGTTTCTACCGAAGGAGAAGAGGTCGTCATTTAGGAGGAGATGTACCCACACACGAGACGACGAGGCCCCGATGAAGACACACAGCAGCAGTGTTGCTGGCTTGAATGGAAACGGTGGCAGGCGGAGGTCAATGCGACACTCTCAATCGCGCAATGCATCAATGAGGAGTGGAAGAAGCTACGCCAGTCAATTGAGTGAACGGGTTGAGAGGATGAGATTAGATTCCTAACTCGCGACTTCTTTTGTACTTTTCCTGACTTTGTATTTGTGATTATTTGAGTCGTTGACAAGAAATCGCTGAAACAGTTGTTTAGTGCATTGCTAATCGCCTGACTTGTCATGTGTTGAGGGTAGGGTGGGGGATATTCTTTCATCTGTGTGGCTGGTTGATCGGGAGCGGCAGCCCAGCCCGAGATTATGGGTGCGCTGTTATCGTTAGCCTCCTTTCTTCCCAAATTGTCGGGTTTATGGCAGAATGATTGCCTTATCTTTCCCTATGATGGGTGTTGGGATACGGGAAGGAGGCGGATGCCGGTGCAGAAGGCCGTTTTGTCGACTTATGCAATCACCCCACAATCCCTCCGTTCTGATTCCACTATGGCAACCACACTCTCGATAAGAGGAAAACAGATAGCATGGACAGCAGCATTGTCAAATCAAGGCCTCGGATCGCCTACCACCAACTCAAATGCTCCAAACCTGATCCATGCAGGCAGATGGCTGCGCACCACTGCAGTACAAAACCAACACGATGACATGAAAGGAGCCACGCTACACCCGCGTCAAGAACAATGTTTTATTTACAAAAAGGAACATCACAGCTTGAGTAACAGAACACAAAATTAGTGTGAATCAAAATAGGCTGTATTCCAGCAACGGAACGCGGATTTTGATGCGAATGGAAATGGATGCTGTCACGTTTGGGAGTTTCATTCAATGCCCACGCGTTTCTTCAATCTTGCCGCATACCCTCTACCTGTCCGTCGCCACCTTGCCGTGGAGGCTGAGTTTTCGCCTATCACCTCGTGACATGGCACGCGATTCACCTGAATATCCGTCGGACTCACAACTGGCCTCCTTCTCACCCAGTTGGACTGCTTGGCCGTCTTCACTGTTGGCTCAGTGTCCTGCTCATATGGGACGTGTGAAACCGATTTTCCGAATGCTAAATAATTTCCGTTATTCTCCTTTTTACACGTCAATGCCTGATGCTGCCTCGAGACTGGCGATTGTGACTTTGGCTTCGCCTCCACTGCTACATCCTCCGATTGTAGAAAACTTTCTAGTGTGCGGCGCACATTGGCACAGTTCTTCGACATAGCGATGATTTTCGTGATTGGGGCCTCACTCTCCGCCAGTTTGATATCAAGCAGTTCGATGTTAGCACTCCTCAGGTGCTGCAGTAGATTGGCGAGGTCAGTTACCACAATTATGCACCTCTCTGAGATATTTTCAATCGAGCTTGGAGTCAGAAGTCGAGGAAGCCATCCACGAATGGCCTTGTAATTACGAGCCTCAATGGGCACGGAGTAAAGGTGCTTTGCGATCCAATAGAAGAGTTTGTTCGAAGTGAATATCTGGTGAAGGGGACGACAGTCGTCATAGCGATCCTGCAGTGAGTCAGCAGTAGAATTGTAGAAAGAAAGAGCCTTTATAAACTTAGACAGAGCAATAATCTCTGTGTAAATATTTTGTATCTCCATTAGACTGTGCATAATCCATTGGCCTTGTTGACTTTCTGGCAATTCTGACTCATTGTTGGTAGAATTGGAGTTGTCCGAAGTTGCCATGTCGTGGGCTATTTCACTCACCTCCTCATACTTCGCGAGCACAGTCTCCCAGGCTTCTTCATAATTGAAGAACTGTGCTAGAGCACAAACGCAGGCTGCAAGGATAATCGGACAATCACTCGGGTTACAATACTGCAGCTCGGATGTTTCTCGTGACCTCTGTTTATACCAAATCATAAGACAAAGGGAGAAGAGATTAAGCCAATCGGGCAAAGTTGGATTTGGGGCATAGGAGAAGGCATTACAGATAAAATGCATGTGCGTCTCGTGGTCAGGTAAGTGAATATGTTCAAGAGTAATAAATATTAATTTGACACTTTCCGAGCTGATTGGATGAATCTCAATAAGACTTGGTTTAGTACCATTGAGATGCGAGCATCCACCGATTGACATCTCGTAAGTATACATGAGGCAATAAGTGAGATACCTAACCGTCAATGCCTTCATATAAC